GTAGGTACAAGCTGCAGAGAGAGAGGGAGGCGAATGATTTGGCAGTGAGTGACCGAGGGAGCAGCAGTCGTCTCAACACAGGTAGAGACCGGTCGGGCTATCTAGATAGAGTGCGGGGTGGTTTGCTGAGAGACGCGGCTGTTCGGGCCTGCATGCTGCACAGACAGCAGATAGATAGTCGTCACGTGCAGACGCTGCGCTGCGTCCATGGACGGATGGATGGATGGATGGATGTGATGTGGCGATGTGGCGTCGTGTGCGTGCCACACCGTGTAGATTAGATGGATGACCTGACGATGCATGAGGCTTCATTGGTGTGTGTTGACGCAACAAACAGCTCGATGCAACACAGTCGGTCGGTCGGATGAATCAGATCAGATGTATGTTTCTGTCTGCTACACATGTGAGCAAAAGGCTTCCCCCCCGCCCCACACACACACACACGCGTTAGGGAATACACTGACGACACGTTGGCCGTCTGTACTGAACTGTTTTCTCGGCGGTCGATCGACAAACACTGATCCGATGGACGACGGTGTCCCACACCCCATGCATCACATCGCCTCGGAGTCTGTCTGTGCTTCCCTTCCTCATCTCCCTATCTCCTCCGTCCCTTGGTCACACACAGTAGCTAGCTAGTGGCCCATCCATCACTCCCTCACAGCTTGACCTCGAGCTGCAGCACCACCGGCGGCCCCAGACGCACACCTCTCTCATCCCACCCACAGGCCTCCACGTACAGATCCTCCTCAAGCAACTGCACGAGGGAGGGAGGGACAACCAAGCACAGCACTCACACACGGCCATCATTGATTCGATCTGTGTTAACTGACCCGACCCCTCGCCCGCCCTGCCCACGTTGGTACGGTGCGCAAGTACTTACGTAAGTACCTGTTTTGCCTGCACAGGCAGCACCCGCCTGGCGTCACACTGTGCGGCGGAGAGAGAGGCGCGACACACCGGCACCTTCAGGGTGGCGACGTGGCGCAGCGAGGGCGACGTGGCGCCTCCACTCCTCCTCGACTTGGCCATAGCCCACACATCGAACGTCGAGCTGCACCAATGCCCATAGGTCGCAACCTGATGCACACACACACACACACACAGACACACACACACCATACAGACATACAGTCTGATTGGTGCGGCCATCCATCCAATGACCTGAGCCTCTGCCATGGAGCGAGGGGCGGCCCCACCCACGACAGGGTGAGAGGAGGGGCCGTGTGTCCACCCAGGTTGCTCCTTGGCTCTCCTGCTGGCGTGTCCTGGCAGACCGTCTGTCGGCATTGCCTTGGTCAGCCCAGCGGCCACAGTTGTGGGGGTCCTCTCCATTGTGGCCCTCAAATGCAACACGGGCAGCAAATCACGTGCTCGCTGGACACACCATCACCACCACACCAACCACACCAACCATGCCATGGATGTGTGCGTGTGTCTACGTGTACCTGTGGGTCTTGACCTTTGCTTCCCACATACCTGTCTGTCGGCGCTGCTGACGGTGGTGATGCGGGCGGCGAGGCGGATGGGCGGCGCGAGGCAGAAGAAGCGGGGCGGGAGATGGTGAGGAAGGCTCAGCAGCCGCTGAAACACGCCGCACCAATCCGACGCCTCGTGCAGCGACACTTGCTGCCACGTAAGTCACACACGTCAGCCAATACACATCAACACACACACTGCCATGAGCATGACATACGCACACACACGTGTGTGTGTCTGTTCTGTGTGCACCTCACCGACCTGCATGGTGTGTTTGTGCGTCCACCACTCCTGCAGCCGCACAGAGGTGGCGTAGCTGCACTCTCTGCTTCGGCGATGGGTGCGTAGCAGGCAGTGGGCCGACAGGGCCAGCCGTATCCAGTGGGTCAGGGCCGCTCGTGTGAGGGGGGAGTGCTGGTGACCCCACTCGCGAAGCCCCTGCAATCTGCACACGCCCACATATATATCGATCGACTCACGCATGAATGACAAACAGACACTCTGGCTGGCCACACCGACTCATCCACTCCACACCTTGCGATTTGCAGCTGCAGCTGTTTTAGTGTGGTCTTCCTCCTGCCCCTTCCCACGTCGCTGCCATGTCCATCGCCTGTCGCCCCCCCGTGTGTGTGAGCAGAGAAGGATGGCGGCATCTGGGCTCCCCACCCCGTCGGCCGACGAACCAGCGACAGCAGTGGCTTGGACGACGGTCGTCTGCTGCTGGACGAGGGCAGTGGGGCTGCCGATAACTCTGTCCTCACATGTGCGAAAGCTGATTGACGGAGAGAGAGGGATGAGGAGAAGACAAGACACACATTGGATGCAGGCCGTGCACGGCCGTGGACGCATTTCTTTCTTGTTGGCTCTCACTCACCTCTCATGAGTTCCATGACTGCCTGCAGGTACGTCAGCTGGAACTCCATGTCGATGCTGCCTAGCGCGTCGGGGAAAGCGTGGCGTGTCTGCATTGACTGCATGGCCTCGAGGGACCTCAGCGCTCGACCAAGGGAGGACACACACGCTCTCTCGGCTGGCGAAGACACTGCGTCCCATAAGGGGCCGTGGGCGAAGGCTGAGGTGATGTCGGCCAGTGCAGTGAGCCACAACGAGGCCCACAACGGTGTCACCTGCAAGCAGGACAATGGAGGGAAGCGGAAGTAAGGAATGAGAGGAGCTCTCACGCCCCTCTCTCTCCCCACCCACCCTGTCGGCCAGATGGAGGAAAGCATTTGCACTCTCGTTGAAGGCACCGGCCGTGGCGCACACGACGGCGCACCGGTAGGCCTCCCAGTGGTTGTCGGCCTTGATGGCGACCTCTATCGCCCCCCTGCCCATGTCCCTGCGCGCCTTCCGCTGACTGACCCCCATGGCGACCCGCAGCTGGAGCGCCAGCAGGGGGGGCTGCATGGGCACACGGATCTTCTGCGGCAGACTGCTGGTCTTCTTGATGAGCAGTGAGGGGGGTGTTGCTTGCACATGGTGGTCCCCCACAGCCACGGTCACTGTGACCGTCTTGCCCTCCCTGTCGCCTCTTGCAACACCCAGGGCCGTCAGTAAGGTGACGATGAGGCGATACCGGGCACCTTCATCGGCTTTTTCAGCCCTGCTTATCGCCTCGAGCAACTTGACGGCTGAGAGGGCGGAGAAGGGGCACCCCGCTGCGTGCTGCCGTGCCCTCCGCACTGGTGTCAGGAACCATCGCTGAATCAGAGACAGCGTCTCCTCGGTGTCGTGGGATTGCAGGACGTTTGTAAGCAGGTTGACTCGCGCCGATTCTAATCGTGTATAGTAGTGATCTGTGGTAGCTGAGGATAGGTAAGCTCCGACATGGGACCACTGCCGGCCCAGTGTGTTGAAGACCTCAGACCCTGCAGACCAGACCAGGGAGGGACACGCAGAGCAGAGAGAGACGCGATACGTGGCGGCGTGCACCCCATCTCATCAATGCCATGCTCATCTGACTGACTTACCAAGCTCGAGCGCGGCGATCCGTTCGTCGAGCTGCTCGGCGGTAAGGTCCTCTTTGCCGTCGGTGTCGCCGATCTCCCCCTCCTCGGCATCCTGACCCTCCTGCGCATCCAGCCAGCCGACCAGATCACCCACCATCCCCTCCAGACCGCTGCACACACTCCCAAGGCCGCCCTCAACCACGCCATTATGCAGCTTCCTCCGCTTGGTCTCCCCCCCCTTCCCCTCCCCACACACATGCATCTTCACAGTGGGCAGTGTGACGCCGTCACACATGTCGTCGAGGAATGTCAGGGGCCGCGACACGTCTAGTGCGGGAGCGTTGAGGGGCGTTTCTCTGCTAGCAGTGCTGCTGCAGCTGCTTTCGGACAGACATGCAGACGAGATCGCCCGGGCGATGAAACGGTAGAAGTGTGCTGTAGCGACGGGGCCTGCAGAGAAGAGGTGACGGTGGCGCCAGAATGTCCAGAGTGGGAGGTCGATAAACATTGGGGGCGAGGGGGACGAGGTGAGGCCCTTGAGCCACTCGTGGACTGAGGGAGGGCTATCGGTGTGAGCTGAGAGGGAACACTCCAAGAATGACAGCCGCAGCAGCGCATCCAGCGACCTGCAGAGGCATCAATCAGACACGTTAATTGGTTGGTGGATGGGGTGGCTTGCTCGGCCGGCCGTGTCAATTACTTGAGTGCCGGAATGGCTATTGAAGCGTAGAAGGCTGCGTATGGGCTGTAGAGGTCCGCTGATCTGACGGCCGGCATGTGCACTAACAGCACCTGCAGCCACGCTACGAGCAAGCCCACCTGCAGGACACAAAACAGACAGACACATCACGCTGGCTGGCAGGTTAATTCCAGCCTGTCCATTCCAGACGGCCCGCGTACGTACGTACCAGAGCGAATGCGAGACATGTGTTTGTCTCGGCCATAGCTGTAGCGGCCTCCATGGCCATCGCCCCAGCCGTCGCCCACCACCTCACCTCCTCGCCATCCTCACCACCATCACGGCCCACCAGCTGCTTGAACCGCACCCCAGCGGCCGCCAGCCGCCTCACCGACGCACTGAAGAGTTTCGTCAATGCACGCATCGCCGCAGCGGCCTCGTGCTCATTGTCCCGTGATGACTGTCGGGGGGCCTGCTGGTCGGCGTAGGGAGCGAGGAAGGCAGATGCGTCCGATGTTCTAGAGGTTGCAGCAAAGCTGGTGAGGATGGCGACCAGACGGCCGATGAGGTGGGGGGCTTCGCGAGCCATACGCAGCGCACATTCGGGCTGCTGGTCGAGCACGCTGATGAACCCATCAATCTGCAAAGAAGACAGACAGACAGACAGTCACCGAAAGAAGTTGACGGATCACCCCTCCCTCCCCTCTCCACCCACACCTTTTCGACGACCGTGTCCGCCACGATGCCCCGGACCTTCTGCGCCCTCACCAGCGCCTCAAGCGCATCCAGTGCCCCCAGCTGCCGTCCGCCCGCTAGCCCATCTCTCTGGCACACATCGATATCTGCCAGCAGTTTCGTCACAAATGCGGCCCTGGCGACCGGCTGGTCAGTCAGCAACTCGGGTTGCAAAGCCAGCAGATGATAAACCAGCGCATTCTGCCATGTGGCAGGCGCCTTGCCGCTCTCCTTCTTGCCCTCGTAGCCCTCCTCTCGCACGCACTCCGGCACCCGCAAGCGCTGCGCCTCAGTGAGAAGCCCCTCGAGGCGGCCCTCAGGCAAGCCGCTGAGTGCCAGGACGGGCAGGCATTGCAACACGGGCGACGTGCCAGACAGCTGGGTCAGTGCAGAGTCCACCAGACACACCGCAGAGCCTCTCTGCGAGTCACGCTGAATGTGTTGCAGGAGCTGGATAAAGGCGGTACTTTTGGGGCCTGCATGAGCAGTAGTCTGTAGCTGGGCAGTAAGAGCACTGACGCTCGCCTCACGAGGTGGCCCAGGCGGCATCAGCCGCCGTCGCGCAAGAGTGGGGTCAACAGCGAGGGAGTTCATTCGACGGAGATGATGGTAAGTGGATCTGGGCAGTGAGAGAAAGCAGTGATGAACGCGATGGAAGCATCAATGCCTCACGACAGTGCCGCGAGGTGCCAGATCTGGACCACTTCTGATTTTTTCGCCAAACAGCGCAGTGAAGCACCGCGTGTGAGTCACCTTACTCCCTCAGATTGTCAATGGCAGGAGGTGCCCCGCAGAATTTCGCTCCTCATCTGCAATCTAAGCTCGCAGTTGGTGTCCGTAAAACGGTTCAGAAGGACAGTGGTTTCTGATCCAGTTTTTTCGATCCCACGGGGTCTGTGGTCCTCACTCCCGACGAGCACCTGAAGCCAAGCAACCGCGGACTGTGTGATTCTGCTCCCTCTGAGCCGCGTCGCATGTGACTGTCCCCTCCCTCCCTGCCGGCGGTTGCACACCACACGGCTCTGCCTTGGATTGGACACTGCAGAGTGAGTTGGTCATCCACCTTTCGGCCGCATTTTTCATCTGCTTGACGCGGACGGCCTCGGTCTTTCCGCCGCCACGCTACACGGTGTGCGCCCTCCCTGCCTCGTTCCTGCTCGTTGCTTGGTGAGGTGGAGGGCCGCTGCAGCCTGAGAAGGAGGACAAGGACGGACTGCCGGCGTATCCGAGGTGATCAACCGGAGGGGTCGTCAACCTCGCCGCACCAGGTGGGTGGGTATTCATGAATGCGCGGCAGGGAGAGCCGCCGTCACAGAGCGGGGAGAGGCCTGGGTGCGGGCAGGGAGGCAGGGAGGGATGCATGGCATGGCTGAGTAAAGACAGACGAGACGAGAGGGGCGCACAGAATCAATCTCTCCATATATTCTCTTGCCCCTCACCCCACCTACCTTTGCTTGTTGCCGTGCAGACAGACAAGTGACATACATACATCAAGTGGGTGGCTCGACTGCCGGTGAATCGTTCCCGCCATCATGGACGCCGAGATCGCCGGAGGGTCGTTCCCCAGTTCCCATCTGCACCAGATGGTCCAATCTCACCTGAAGCCTTCGTCCTGGGTATCTCCGCAATGGAAGGCAAGTAGCGGCGTCCGCCGCAGCAGCCGCACCACCCAACACAGCGACGCCGCTCCGGCCGGGATCATCCCTCTCGACGCCTTCCGGACGTCGTGTGAGGGCAACGAGGCGGCCAGCCTGGCTTTGAGCCGGCTCAACAAGGCCAACAATACCGAGGCCGGAACCGTCCCCGCCGCCTTCATGTACGAGAAACCGATGGACGAGAGGGACTGGCGCGGCCGACTCCTGGGCGACTCCCCCAGCCCAGCCATGAAGCACGAGCCAGCGACGGTCAAGACGGCCGCCATCGAGGACGGGACGGCGGCTGTTCTCTCGCCTGAGGCGCACCGCAAGACGGAGATCTTGCCTTCCCATGCTCCACCGGCCAAGGAGCTTTTCAGATGGACCAGGTGCGCCAGACAGAGAGAGATGGATGGATGGATCCGTCATGTCATGTCATGTGGGTGCGTTGGTTTGTTTGTTTCTTCGTTGGTCGGTTGCTTCATTATTGGTTGGTCGATCGATCAATCGATTGAGCAGGGAGATGGCCGACCACGCAAAGGCGATGCGCGAGTTGCAGACGCCCAAGGTGGCCCAGACGACCAGCCCGCAGCGGAAGGACCAGCCTGAGCTGCCCCTGCAGCTGCCCAACTCGATGGCGCCCCCTTCGCCAGGCGGCCTGCTGATGCGCCGGGGAGGCGCCGAGTTCCGCAATCTTCGTGTGGACACCAAAGGCACATCCCCCAGGGTCAACAACTCCTCCACCGGCGGTGGCGGTCCACCAGGTGGCATTTTTGTGGTCAACGGGATGCGTCGGCGGCGAGTGGTGCCGGCGACGCCCCTGCTGAGCGAGAAGGCCATGCAGGTCCGCAAGCGAGTGCGAGGCGGCGACATGCATGACAACCCCGACGCACACATGTACCTGAACGGCCACGGCCAGCACCGCCATGGCCACCGGGGCAGCGAGTCGCCCGAGCGGGTCAAGCACCCTGGCGGCCGGGATGCCCACGTCAAGCGTTTCAAGCACGGTGTGCCGGTGGATGGTTCGGGCAACAACGGAGGCAACGGCAAGGGCAAGAACCCGGCGGGCGGCAAGGGGCGGCGGTACTGCCTCTGTGAGGGCAAGTCGAGGGGCTTCATGATCTGCTGCGACAAATGCCAGGTGAGGATTCACTCGAGTGACTCACATGGCCACACACATGACACACACATGACACACACACCGAGCCGGAACACAGACCACATCCATCGATCGATCGAGTGTGTTGTGCTGTGCTGTGTGGTGGCTTCGCTTGTCGATGGTTTGTCAGAATTGGTTCCACCCCAAGTGTGTGGGTTTGACGACGAGCGAGGCGCGCAACTGGCCCAAGGATGAGGCCTACTACTGCCCGCCCTGCAGGGACGCCACCGAGGACCTGATCAACGAGGAGGACGTCAACGACAACTCGCTCCCCTCCTCAGCCAAGGACGCCGTCATGCGGGATGAGGACAACGCAGACGACATCAACAGCAACATCAACCCCAACCCTAACAACGATCGACAAATGCCGGTGGGCGCACATCCCATCCGCTTCACACAAGCACAAGGATGGATGGATGGGTGGATGGATGGATGTGCGTGCATGTGTGTGCAGATACAGGACGTGTTCGTTCCGTCACGGGAGAGTGCCCCCTTCCCTCTCCCTGCGCCTCTCCCCTATCAGCAGCTGCTGTCTGGTGGAGGTGGAGGTGGCCGGGCTCCGGTGATGCCGCCGGCCGACATCCCGCCGCCCATGACGGGTGACGAGGAAGCGCACATCCCGAGGCTCGGCAAGACGGCGGGGCGCATCCGGGACAAGGATGGCCGCTTCATGGCCAAAACCGGCATCACGGTGCCGATACCGGCGTCGCAGGCTCCACCAAGGCAGCTTGGACTTCCACGACTCACAGGAGGGCCATCGTCCTAGCTACCGGCTGTCAGAGCCAGAGGGCGGGGGAGGGAGTGGCCAGGGTGGCGACGACGGCGGTGCGTTGGGCACATTAAGGCAAAGAAGTAGGTGTCCGCTGCAGGAGGCTGGCCGATTGGTGTTGGACGACGAGCGGGTCTACCTGTCAGTCTGTTTGTCTCGATGTCATTTTCTCTCCGTGAGCGTCAGTGGGTGGGGGCCTGCCTGAAGGGGAGAATGGGCGAGTGGGGGGCGGGTGTGTGTGTGACAAGACAGAAAGGCCGGCTTGCTGAAGAAAGTGGTGCGTGTGTCCACGCCCACTGTTTCTCCACATGCCGGCCGACTGACTGACTGACTGATTATTTGCGGCTGCACTGCCCACCTGCATGATCTACACATCCGTGAATTGGTGCAACGGGAGAGGGAGAGGGAAGGGAAGGATTCTCCCTCGGAGGGAGGAAAACGTCGTGAGAGGCTCGATCACCATATATGGATGGACGGACGGTGGATGGTGGACGCCCCTGTCTGTCTGTCCGTGTTGCAATCGTGTGTTTGTCTCTCCTCATCCGCCTTAATTACCCTGCTTTGCTTTGCATCCCTGACGTGCCGTCAGGTAAGGTTTGCATGTGTAAGCACATCAGGCAAGGCAAGCCTCACTTGCGGGCATGGGAGGCGACACGGGGAGGATGAATGGATGGATGGATGAAGGATGGCAATGGGCTTTCCAGAGACATACAAATGCATGCACATGACTGACATGACCTGCTGCTGAATGCACTCACTGCACAGCCAGACAGCCGTTCGTGAGCGGAATGGCGGTTGGGTACACGCATGCATGGTGGTAGACAGACACCATCTCGAATCGATTCATCTAGCTAGCTACCATTTCAGGGCCCATCCATCACTGCATGCCATGCCAGATGGATAAATGCAATCAATGCAGCCGGCCTTTCCCATCCCATAGCTATCCGTCCACTGAGTCATATGTCCGTCCCTTCAACCAACCGGTTACTCATTCAGGCAGGCAGGCAGGCATCATGCACTGCACTCGCTAGTCAGGCAGGCATATCGGTAGGTACAGCCTCAGCCCACCGATCTGTCTGTCTGTCTCTAGCGGCCAGATCCCCTCTGTGGATCCATCTATACTGTCTGTCTGTCTGTCTACACCGCCTCCTCCTCCCCCTCGATGGAGTCCATGGGGCTCCTCTCGTCGCTGCGGTCCTCACCATTATCACCAAAACTGCCCTCAGGCCTGTCATCCACTACTCCAACCTCCACCTCCCCCTCGAGCTGCCCCTGCTCCCCCTTTTTCTTGCCACCCTTGGCGCTGCTGCGGGTGCGGACGCGCTTGGCTGCCCTGGCGCTCCTGCTGCGGTTGAACCCGCGGCCGCCCCCACTCTGCTGTTTGGACTGGGCCTGGGCCTTGCGCTTGCGGGGGAGGGGGTGCGACAGGATCTCCTGGTTAGCGGGGTTGCGGATGCACCTGAGGGAGGGAGGGAGGGAGGGGGAGAGGGAGGGAGGGAGGGATGGAGACATATACATAAGAGAGACCGTTGTCTTTTGTTGTGTGGTCTTGGTTGGGCTGTTAATGTGTGATTACGTGGGGCATAGGTATGGTTTGCGCGAGGGCCAGGCGGCCACCTTCTGCACGGTCATCCCCACACACTTCTGCAGGATATATGGAGGGGATGGGGAAGGGAAGAAACGAGAACAGACACACCGGACGGTGTGCACACAACGGCCATCCATCCATCCATCCCCACCGGGTGGAACCAGTTCTCGCATGCGTCGCATTCGATCATGCAGCCCTTGGCCGGACCGCCACACAACTGCACACACAACACAACACAACACAACACGACAAACAGCACAGCACAGCACAGCAGATGGGCTCAGTCAGCTTTCGTGTTGGTTCGATGCATGTGTGTGTATGTATCTGTTTGACTGCCGTGCGTGTTGTTGCGTTGGGTACATACACAGTACTGCTCCTCCTTGGAGCTCATGGACGAACAAGAATCCTCCAACTTGGACTCGTCATCACCGTTGTCCTCATCTACACACACAAGCACACACAACACAATACAATGGAAGGCGCCTACAATAAATATAAACCCCCTGCGTAGTCTTACGCCGAACTCACTGACCGTCCCCCTCCTCGCTGCTATCGTCTGGGTCGTCCTCGCTGCCCCTCTTGCCCGACTGCACGCTCTCGGCCGCATCGACACGGCGACGGGGCGCACCCCAAATGCGCGGCGGGCGACGGGCGCGGCGCCTCCCCTTGACATCCCCCGCGCTGTGGTGGGTGGTGCCGTTGTGGCTGTTGCTCTCGCCGTTGGCCTGGCTGCCGTTCATGCTGTTCCCGGGCGGCTCTTTGCTCCGCACCGGCATCACACGCTCCACCGGGCGGCGCAAGATGCCGTTCTTGACATAGGTGCCCTTGAGGGCATGCTGCTGCTGCTGTTGCGGCTCCTCCTTGCCGCCGTCCGGGCCGTTCTCCCCCCCTACCTCCCCTCCGTCCTTATCCCTTTCCCCTCCCTCGACGGTGTGGCCGTTCATCATCGGCGGCTGCATCTGCCCACCACCATCACCATGCCCATTGGTATCGCCCCCCTGCTGTCCGTTGTCCTCCTCCTTATCGCCCTCGAGCGATGGGTGCGGGGAGTCGTCGATGTCCATCATGGCGTCGGGCGTCTGCTGACACCGCACCTCCTTGGCGTGATGCGCCATCACGTCAGTCCAGCGGAAGAGCTCGATGCCCAGGGGCGGCGTCATGGCTATGGCCTCCTCCTCATCCACTTTGGTGTTTTCGGTGAAGAATCCGTCCCGGACGGCCGTGGGCTCGACGGGTCTGACGGCCAGCCAGTCGGCGGCATGGCCGGATGAGGCGAACGAGGTGATGGTGGCGTAGATGGCCTCATGCCCGCTGTTGTCGGCGATGACCTGCCGCTGTTGTAGGGTGGCCATGGTGCTGGGGCGGCCGGTAGGTCGGCCGGCGGCGTGTCGTGCCTGGATGTAGCTGTACAAGGCGCCGTGGCCCAGGGATCCGTCGGACACTTCCACGGAAGGAAACATGACGCTCCAACGAGCAGCAACAACCCAACGCGTCAAGGAAAACAGGCAGTCAGCGGCGCCCCGACGTGCAGCGTTTACACCGCTTTTGCGAGCTTACAGCCCTTCACCCCACCCCCTTAGAGCTTCTCCAAATCTTCGGGTCGTCTCTGCCAAATGAAGGTTGACGGAGCATTCATTGTCCTGTTGGTGTCTAGCTACATCTTCTGCTGCTTGGACACTCTCGCATCGGCCTTCCTTGTGCCATCCTCAACATCAGCAAGGCGGCCATTGAGGCCCGCAAAGAGAGATCTGAGGGTGCACTCATCTTCTCGCGTCATCGGTAATGCTCGTGCTGTTGCTCAGGAGGTTTGTTGTGGAGCATCAGGGGACAGTGATGGTGCCGTCGACCGTCGCTCTCTTATCGGTCCTTCTGTGGCTGCACTGGTGGCTCTCGGATTAGGCGGGAGAAGGGCGTGGGCGATTGACATGGAAACGTACGAGTTTGCAAAGGTGGCATTATTCGTCATCAGCAAGGAGATAGGTCGGGTCAGCCCTTGGGACGAAGGCACACAGTCATCCACACATTGATCTGTATGTGTGTGTGTGTGTGTGTGTGTGTGGATAGAGGGCGGCAACATCGAGAGGATGAAGAAGGACATCGACAAAGGCAAGGCGCGCGCACACACAGACAGACACACACACACCAGACAACCCAGAGAGTATCACGTGTGTGTGTGTGTGTGATTGCTTCCCTCTCCCCGCCTGGCCATCCGTCCACTTACAGGCAACTTTGAGGATTTGATCGCCTTCACCCGTAAGTACAACGGGGTGCTGTCTCAGGAGATGAGCAACGCCAACAAGATCTTTACAGACGAGGCCAAGAAGGAGGGCAAGTCGCTCAAGGAGAAGGCGCGGGATCACCTTATCGAGATCAACCAATCGGCGAGGCGGCGCTCCGCTGAGGGGTGCAACGCTGGCCTCGAGGGCCTCAAGAAGGACTTGGTTGACTTCACCCAGCTGGCGCAAGTCGAGCCACCGTCATGATGCGATGCACATGCTCATTGATTGGTGTGCAGAGATGGATAGATTGCATTGGATGGAGTGGTTGATGGATGGATGGAGAGTCCACAGACATGAATGACACACATGACATGGCCGGCCGGCCGGCAAGACTAAAACTACTCACTGTACACCACATCACGTCACGTCACACGTACGTCAGTCACTAATTGCCGCCATGCCCTCACAATCCCTCCAAAGTTGTTCGCCGCTGACTGATCCTTCCCCTTCCCTCAGCCAGGCATTCAGGCAAACCCCCACGAACCACCATAAACCGCACGAGATGTATCCAATCCACGTCATGATATCATCACTTCTTCTTTTCATTCTCCTTGCCACCCGGCCCCCCCACGCCCACGCCCACGTCCAGCACGGAGCCCACCACACAGCTCCAGTCGCGGATGTCCCAGTGGGTCACCAGATCGTTCCTCACATAGGGGTCCTGGCTCACAAACCTCTCTATCCGCTCCTTCGACACGTTGCGGAACACCAGCATCGCGCCGTCAGGGGGGTTCGCAAAGGCACCGCCCAGAAGCAGCTCATCTGACATGAATGACGGACAGGAGTCAGAGCTGTCTGCAGTGGGCAACGTCGTGTGTGGCCTGTACAGGCCTCACTCACACCCCCCCACACACCAGGTTGGAAGAAGGTCTTGAGGAGCTGCAGGTGTCCGCTTCTGTGGGGCTGCCTCTTTTCCAACACGTCAGCCACATAGCTGTACCTGTCACACCACACACGCCACACGCCACAGACAGACAAGGCCAAGGAGATCTGCCGTCGTTGCAATGCACTGCTGCAGTGTTTGCCTCCCTCCTGTGGGATGTGTGTGTCACCTTAGGACCCTGAAACTGTCCTGTGTGGCGCTTGGCACGCCCGCCACGTTGCCAGATACGCGCATCGTGGACTTCAACATCTGAACGGTCAGGATCCTCAGACCTGTCACGTCACGGCAGCATCGGGCACCCTCGGGCAGGGGAACAGACAGGAATTTTGGGCAGATCGTCCCTCGGCTCGCAAAACAGATCACGGGCTTCAGAGACGTCTTCCTCTCCCCTCGCGGCAAAGGGAACGTCGCGGTGGTCCTTTGATGTCTTCGATTCGCGAGATGGCTTCTTCATGCATTCTCGGCATCTCGCTGCTTGTCGGCACCGCTCTCCCCTCCCTCCCTGTGGTTGCCACCAGGGAGTGCTCGCCGTCGATGGCTTTTTGTGACTCCTCCCTGGACGAGACCACACGCGTCAGGGATCTCATTCGCCGCCTGACCAACCCTGAGAAGCTGTTCCAGCTGACGAACCATGGGGCAGGCATCAGGAGGTGAGCAGGGAACGATGGAACGATTGAAGCACGATTGATGCCATTAGATGCAGGGAGGGAGGGATAAGGATGGCATGGCATGGCATGCACTGCACGCGATGATGCCTTGGCTTGGCTTGGCTTGGCTTGTTTGTCAAGACAGGCTGGGTATACCTGCCTTCGAGTACTGGACAGAAGCTCTGCACGGTGAGCACGTCGTCTCTCTCTCTCTACATGGTATTGATGGCCATGCGTGTGTATCGATCTCTCTCTCTCTCTCTCTCTGTGTGTGTGTGTGTGTGTGTGTCGGCGGGTTTTGCTCTGTCTGTCAGGGGTGGCCCATTCCCAGGGTGTCAAGTTCGGTGGCGACTACCCTTTCGCCACATCCTTCCCTCAGGTGATAGACGAGACGGACACTCTCACATCCATCCATCCATCCATCGGCCGCCCACCCCACCTGTGTGCAGGTGACGACCAGTGCGGCGTCGTTCGACCGCCACATGTGGCGTCGGATCGGCAGCGCCGTGTCGACTGAAGTGCGGGCCTTCCACAATGCAGGCAGGGCGGGCCTCACTGTCTGGACGCCCAACATCAATGTGGTCCGTGACCCAAGATGGGGCAGGTACAGTACGTGTGGGGGGTGGGGTGGGGTGGGGTGGTGCAGACGGACGGGCGGGCACAACACGACACACACGTGACGTGTGGCCACTGCAAAGTGTGTGTGTCTGTCTGTCTGTCTGCAGGTCGCAGGAGACCCCCGGTGAGGACCCCTATGTCGCGTCTGTGTATGCGGTTGAGTACGTGAGGGGCCTGCAGAAGGGCGACGACAGGCGATACGCCAAAGTGGCAGCCACCTGCAAACACTACACCGGTGAGAGACAGGAGAGAGAGGCAGGGCAGCGGACCTGATGCAGTCAAGTGATTCGATTCCTCCTTCCAACCAGCCTTGCTGTGCTGTGTGCTGTGTGCTGTGCAGCCTACGACATGGACAGCTGGAATGGCACCGACCGCCACCACTACGACGCCATCGTCCACCCCATCGACCTGGCAGAGACCTTCCTGCCGCCCTTCCAGGCCTGTGTGGAGGTCGCCGACGCCCAGTCCATCATGTGCGCCTACAACGCCATCAACGGTACGCCAGCCTGCGCCAGCCACCTCTTCCAGACGGATGTTCTGCGGGACGCCTGGGGCTTCGACGGCTTCGTCGTGAGCGACTGTGGCGCCATCAATGACGTCTACGGCAACCACCACTATGTCAAGAGCCGGGCAGAGGCCACTGCGGTCTCTATAAAGGTGGGGGGATGAGACGGTCAGAGGGAGTGGACCTTTGTGTGTGTGTGTGTGTTGACGTACCTACAGGCTGGGTGCGACATGTCTTGCGGCAACACGTATGAGCTGGGGGCCGACTTTGCGTTGCTGCGGGGGTTCATGAGAAGGAAGGATCTGAACCAAGCTCTGGTAGGTTGCGCACACACAAACCCCACCCACCACCCACCACACGCCTGTATGCCATGCCACCTATGGACGTGGATTGGATGCAGGAGCGCATCTTCCGAGTGCGCATGCGTCTGGGCCTGCTGCAGCCCGACGACACGCAGCCCTACAAAGACATCGGCCGCTCACAAATCGACACGCAAGAGCACAGAAACCTGGCGCTAGAGGCGGCCTCCAAGGGCATCGTCTTGCTCAAGAACCGCGTATCCACTCTCCCCCTCTCGCTGAAACCCGAGCAGCAGATAGCCGTGATCGGTCCGGCGGGCGTGGCGAGCACCACGTTGCTGGGCAACTACCAGGGCACACCGCCCTTCATCCTGGGGCCTGCAGGCCAGACAACAGAGACAGACAGACAGACAGATGCGGCAGAGCGATGTGTGTATCTGTGTCTATCTGTCTCCCCTCTGCAGAGGGCCTCATGAAGGTGGTGGGCGACGGGCGCGTCAAAGTGGAGAAGGCCTGCATGGACGGGGTCAAGTGCGAGGACTACTCCGGGAGGGAGCGGGCTGTGGCGATGGTCCAGGAGGGCGGTGTGGGAGCGGTGGTGGTGGCTGTTGGGCTGGACCTGACGATAGAGAGGGAGGGGATCGACCGGAAAGAGCTTACCCTCCCAGAGAAGGAGGTCAGGATCGCATTCGCACCCTCCCAACCAGTGGCTTGTACGGCCCCTCTCTCTCTCTCTCTCTCTGTGCGCGTGTGTGCGTGTGTGCGTGTGTGCGTGTGTGCGTGTGTGTGTGTGTGTGTTCAGGAGGCGCTGGTGAGTGACATCGGTGCGGAGCTCAAGGCGAGTGGCAAGCCGGGTGTGTTGGTGCTGGCACTGGGCGGGCCGGTGGACGTGTCCAACATACCGAATGCCGATGCGTATGGGGCTGTCATATGGACTGGATACCCCGGTAGGTGGGTACACATACAATATGACACACTTACAAGTGCTGGGAAGCACATTTGCTATGGCGCAAAGATGGATGGATGGATGGATGGGCGGTCATGCAATGCAGGTCAAGCAGGTGGTGAGGCGTTGGCTCTGATCCTCGCTGGTAAGGTGTCGCCCTCTGGCCGGCTGCCCTTCACCTTCTACCCCGCCAAGTATGTGCGTGAGGTGTCCATGTTCGACATGACCATGCGGCCGTCACCGACCAACCCCGGCAGGACATAGTAAGTAAATGCCACCACAGACACGGAGAGACCACGCACACACACACACACACAGAGAGAGAGAGAGAGAGGTATTTGTCCCTCCCTCCCTCCCTCCCTGCCTCCCCTTGAATCGTTTCAGCAAGTTCTACAAGGACATCAAATCAGTGGTGGCGCCGTTCGGTTACGGCCTCTCCTACACCACCTTCTCATACCACTTCATCGGCGCGGCGACCGGCCTTTCCTCGCACCCCCCATCTGCCAACGCTCTCCAGCCCTCCCTCTCCCTCTCGACGCGCCAGCTCTGCCCCCACTCGCCATGCAGCCACGGCAGTCTCGTCGACGACGCCCAGACGGGCGTCTGGATGGCCGTCACCGTCACCAACACGGGCGAGGTGGCCAGCGACACATCCGTCCTGGCATTCCTCAAACCAGGCTCTGCTCAAGGAGAGGGGGTGTCAGCGCCAATCAGCCAGCTGGTGGGCTTCGAGCGCACGGGGGTCATGCAGCCGGGCGAGAAGAGAACGGTCATGGTGTTCGGGGCCAGGGAGCTGTTTGCGCTTGTGAGGGGCGGTGGGGAGAGGTGGCTGCTGCCGGGCAGTGGTGTGGTGACCATTGGGGGCCACGCGTACTCGGGGGTGTCGGAGTGGGATGATAATAAGGATGGGGAGGGAGGCAGCAATGGCGAAGTGGTGGCTCATGTGCCGCTGTCTATCACTGGGGATGAGGTCATGGTGTCGAGGGTGCCGTGGGCTTCCGGCCGTCGTGAGCAAGACATCTTCCTTGACACACTCATCTACAGCTAGGCTAGTTGGCGTTTCCCACTCACTGTGAATGTATGTTGTGTGTATGGTCATATCATATGGTGTGTGGTGTATGTGTGTGTGTGTATCTGTGAAAAATGACTGGCGCTCATAGTGTGGGCAGCTAGGGCAGCTAGCGATGGATGCGGCCATTGATTGCTAAGTGTAGGTCACTTTGGAGAGCGATGGATGGATGGATGGATGGATCCGTGCGGTGGGTAGGGAAGACAATGAACACGAGAACACTCTCTCTGCGACTTTGCCCACACGACTTTTCTTTTCTTTGCAACCCCGAGTAATTTTCGCGTCTCGTCTCATTCAGAAAGCCGCGCACAAGTCACAACATGAAGAAACATAACCGCGATAAGGACCAACATGGCGCATAAGCGTCCATCATTCACACCGCCCGCCCGTCCCGTGCAGTCAGGCTCATCGGCGAACTGCGCCCCCATGGCTAGGCTTTCGCATTCAGCATCCTGAAACGTATAACGTCATTTAGATCACACACACCCATCAGGTGTGGCCCGTGCGGCTGACCTACCCCAACAAGCTCAGCGGGAACGATTTTGCAGGCCTCGAAGTAGTTGGTGCAGGAGGGCCGACATAGGGGCAGCGACTCGTTGTTGGCACTACACCTGCATGGCCGTGCATGGGAGGAAGCCACTCTGGTCTCGTCTCGTCAGGGGTGTGTCTGTCGTTTGTCTGTGTGGATGTGATGTGATGTGATGTGTGTAGTGTACCTTGGAAAGTTAAACCAGCACAAGAAGTTCTTATAAGCATTCTGGCAGTCTTCATTCTGTGTCAAGTACATGGGCGTGTCCTTCTCCTGCACAATCCATCCATTCATCCATCCATCCATCCATCGACCATCCATCCATCCATCCATCCATGGCACATGTGGAGAGATGAGAGGCATCATTGCAGAAAGCCATCCAGGTATGCGGCGCATGGCTGACCCTGGTGATGTTGGTCTCCTTTTTGATTCTCGCCTCCACTTGCTGCTTGAAGAGGCTCTCCAACACCTGGTCCTTCCGCGTCGCATCCCAAGAGGGAAAGTACCTCTGCAATGCAATGCCGCAAGGGCATCCGTCCACCCCACCCGCTCCAGAAACCGTCTGCACGTTGTGTCGTCTGTTACCCACCTGTCTTGGCGGGATGCAAGCCCTGTACCTGACGGCATCTCGGCAGAAGGACAGGCGCTGCCGCACCTCACCCTCGTCAGCACACAGGCCAGACTTCTCCCGGCCGATGAAGCACTTGGCCCGTTCATCCACTGGGAGCGAATCAGACGGGAAGCCCAGGTCAATCTCGTCATCCTCCTCGGCAGCGAAATGGGCGGAGTCTGTGGATGTGGCGCTTGTCGTGCCGTTGTCTGGTGGGGCGGATGTGGAGCTGGCTGCCGCGTTGCTGCCGTCGAGAGGCGCATCTGTCACCTGACCAACTGCATGGGAGAAGGAAGAGATCTGGACGCAAAAATGGGCCTCTGTCTTTGCAAATGCAGCCTACCAGAGCTGGAGATGCGTCCAAGATGGAGCAAGACAGCAAGAACCGATGGCCGCATCTTCAAAAACACGAGCGTTTACGAGACTGGGGGCTGGGGGGCCATTTGCGCGCTTTGGAAAAACCGCACATTCACAGATGTTCCTCTCAGGAGAGGCGCTTTGGGAGTTGGCTGATCATACGGCTGTCGGCGACACAAGACTCATTGCAACTATCTTCCATTTTGCCCTTTGCCTTCTGCTCTCTGCCACCTCTTTGCTGCCATCAGTGACGCCTCAACAGTGACGGCACCTTCTCTCAGTGCATAAGAGTCCAATTCGCCAGTCTCATCCGACAGAGCTGGTGCGGATAAATCGTCCGCCGCTGCAGCAATGTATTGCGCCTCTCGCATTCGGATCAACGTGACTGCTGTCACGCCTATCGGCCCGTCGCAAGACCGAGGCGAAGTCGTGGAGCGCGTCGCCATCAGCATCTCATCCTCCTCGCCCCTCTCAAACCTGCTGACGCTCGTCCAACAGACACTGAAGAGCGAGGGGATCGAGAATGCGTCCATCACTCGCGTACTCAATGGCGCCCTAGCTGCTATTCCGCTGTCGAGATTCGACGTCGGCAGGAAGGAGGAGCGGGTGTGTGACTACCTGCGGGACTCGGATGACCTTGTGATTGTACTAGTGATCCAAGGCCATATGGGAGAGGGGGAGGGAGGGGCTGGCCTCGGCAAAGGGAATGGCGTGGTGATATCTCTCAACCCCTACAGTGTGTCAGCATTGAGCACTGCCAGGGGCGAGCCACACAAGGAGAGCGCCTCGCTGCTGGCTCAGACGGGATTGATCGTTCCACCGAGCTTCGACGACACGGCCCGCGATGCAAGTGGCACCCAAGCCGATGCAGACCAGGTACGCGTGAATGAATGCGGCGCAGTGCAGTGTCTGTGGGTCTTGTGGTCTTGCACTCATATCTTTGTGTCGGTCAGACACCTCCTGAAGATGCCCTCACCTCTCACCCTGAGGACGGCGAGCAGCACCAAGAGACGACCGAGACGAGAGCAGAGGAGGAGCTCACGCCAGCTGCAGTCGAAAGAGACGCTGCCGACGAGCGATCGAGACAGGGAGGAGCAGGGGAGCCTGAGCCGGGACGCGGGATTGACGATAGAGGTGCAAGGGATGCACAGGACGAAGGAGACAAGGCACTCCCTGGGGGTGAGTGCAGCATACGGACGGACAGCAAGTGGCGATATGTAGAGAGTTGTTTGTATCAGCGTTGTCCCGTTCTGGCCGTCAGATGCAGTGCCTTTGATGGGTGAGATCGGTGACTTCATGGTCGAGTTTCTCACACCTCGGCTGCAGCACTTCATCACCAAACGCTTCAACGACGCCCTCGTCAACTACACAAGGTAAAACAGGTCAGCCAGTCGCACCATACACGATCCACCACCGCCTCTCCGATGGTTGGTGCAGGTATGTCCCGATTATCGGCAAACGGGTCGGCTCTCGGTTCCATGGTGTCTGCGGCTCCTTTACGCCTGTGTTCCTTTGCCCCGTTGAGCCCACCCGGCCGTCGAGTCCCAGACCAGTTCAATACCAATGCGCGAAGGTCGATGTGGCGCTTTTTGATCGGTTGGTCCAGTGCCAGCTCTCGATGCTAAGGAGGCAGATGCACTATGTCAAGACGTGCCTCTCGGTAAGTAGAAGAGCCGGTTGGCACGTGCTTTCTGCCCTGACTGACCATCGCGTCATCATCAGGGTCTGAGGGACCTTGTCCGGCGGGGCATGCCTACGACGGCCTCGACGACACTCGTGCTGCCCATGCGGACACATGAGCTCACAGACGGATATGAGGATGTCGAAGACACTGGTGGTCCGCTGTTTTGCTCAAACCTGGCTGGGACAAGCCCAGTCGTGATTGTCGCTGTGGCTGGTGAGTCGGCAGATGCGATGGACCGACTTCGGGTATGAAAGATGCGTAGCGTGCGCAATACCAGGCGAATGGAGGTGACGTGTGTGTGCATGGCATGTGCTTTTCTATGTGTGTTCATCCATTGATTGGCACAGGGGGCCCTGACCGAGCTCCTCAGAGACGTGCTGGTGACAAAGGCACGCTTCAACATCATCAGATACACAGCGGGTGGTGTTCCTCGCGCCTTCGCACCCCAACTTGTGGAGCCCTCACCAGAGGTACACAAACACGGACCTCACCACAAATTGACGTCCGTCTGTCTGTCGAGGTTGGTGGTTGTGTCTCGATCGCCGTGAATGCAGGTGTTGCATGAGTGTGAGGAGTTTGTGACTACCCTGCCCGCGTGTGACAAGTGCAGCCTCATGGACGGGATGAAGGCTGCCTTCGAAATGGACGGTCTCGATGCAATCCACGTCATATCGAATGGCCGGCAATTCACACACAACAAACAAAGCCAAGAAGCCATCCTCAGGGTAACTAACTGCTGGCAAACAGACAGTGTCAGACACACAAGCATCCCCGCCCGTACATGTTGCTTGTCGATCTGTCTGTCTGTCTGTCCATGCATGTGTTTCAGGAGGCGGCAGCCCTCAATGGGCGTCGCATCCCGATCCACACGATAGCTGTCGACAGCGGCTCATCCGGCACTCACTTGCTCCAGCACCTCAGCCATCAGTCTGCGGGGAGCTTCATCAGCAGCAGCCTCGGTGACGGCAGTCGGCGGCAGGAAGTGGAGGCTTCAAGAGCCATCATCGCAATGGGCGAGGGGTATCGTAAGCACCGCATGGCCATCGGCAGACACATGCGGCAGTGCGAGGTGAGTGAGACACAACCGCGTGTAACTATGAAGTCACCCATTATCTATGGCATTGAACAGGTTTTGTTGCGCGACAAGGAGGCAGAAGAGCAGATATGGCTTGAGGAGCAGAAATGCGCAAGAAGGTTAGCTTCGACCACACAAGCCAGGCGTGAGACACGCTTTGAGATGGTATTTGTTCAGGCTCATCCTCGCCTGTGGCCAGCCAGTGCGGCTGCCTGAGGAGGATGCTTTACGGATTGTCGAGCGAGTGACTCTGGCGAACAACCAGGGGGGCGTCTGCTTCCTCACTGAGCGACGAAAGCAACAGGTGAGGCGCACATCATGGGCTAGAGTCAAAACCCTGCACCCACAAACCCGAAACCCCAAACCCTGCGGAAAGAAGAGAAGAAGGCCTGCGTTGCGAATTCATGCCACCGGTTAAGTTCTGCAATTCTAGACACGCCACCTAAAGTCAGGCAAAGCCAGTATTCAGCCACGACAACACTAGTACCAAAAACCAATGTGGACACGCTGGGGATCGAACCCAGGGCCTTCTCGATGCAAACGAGATGTGATACCACTACACCACACGCCCAAGTGACACTTCATCGGGCACACCATCATACGGGATGGGCACGGAGGGGCACACCATGATCTCACACCTCCTTTTCCGCCTAAATCCTCCCTCGCATTCATGTGTGTGTGTGTGCGTCCGTGTGTGTGTGTGAGGTCAGGTGCTCGACGCCTTCTTCGAGCGAAGGCGCCAGAATGGAAAGGCCGGATACATCCACAAGTCGAGTGGTCCCACCGCCGTCGCTGTCACCGTCAAGCCAAGGTGAGCACGGTGCACCGACAGCCTGCTTTTGCTCATGTTTCTGTCATCAGGCCTCCTCGCCCACCATCGAGTCCCCTTGTTCCATTGCACAGTGAGCGGGCCCATTGGAACAGCAGCACCAACCTGAGGCCTCCGTCCGGCCGGAGAATCGTGAGAAGGAAGGCCACCAAGAGCTCGTCGTCTGCCAATCCGTGGACTGACCAGGCGCAGCCCTGTGCAGAGATCGGAGGGCAGGACGCAGAGAACTATCGCAAGATGCTGAGGAAGGGCAGGCGGCCGCCAAGGCCGCCGGTGGTGCGCCCACCTCCAAGCCAGCCCAAGACAGGTCAGGAGTGGGGCGATGGAGAGGGATCGATAGATGGATGGTTCACATGGCACATCGTTGCTGTCCTGTTTGTTTGCAGTTGAGGAGGTGGGTATCGCGCCCGGTCCGCCAGAGGAGCCATCCAAGAACCCATGGGACTCACTGGTTTCGGTCCGTCGGCCGTCCCCTGACGCGACGGGCAGAGAAGGCAGCTCTCTGTTGCCTGAGTTGGCGGAGAGCACGCCCCGTGCGCAAGCCGTGTTCAGCACGCCGTCCTTCACTTTCATGGCGGAAGAGGAGATCGTGGCAGGGGGGCAGTAAATCATGAAGACGGTCGAATGCATGGAGGCAGACGCAGACAGACCGACAGACAGACCGACAAGAAGACAGAACCGTGAGTAAGAAGAGTTAGAGCATCAGACCAAATAGGTCAGAGGACGTGTGTGAGTACATCCGCGGGGCTATGATTCGTGTCTGCATGGCTCAATTTTGCCATCGACTCACTAGGGCAGATACCGGCGTGCAAGTGAGTCGATCGTTCACCCATAAAGGGATTCCCTCGTCTCGCCGAGCTCGACTGGATCCAGGTCCGCACACATGCGTGTTTGTGTTTGTGCTGTGTGCTGAACAGTCTCGTCAAGCTTCGTAAGCTACGAAAAACCCTCCACGTGGCTACAGCGAGTCACAGACACATCCACCTCCCTCCCCCCTCATGTCATGTGTCTTGTCGCATCTCATTTATTATTCCCCCTCGACGTGCAGACACACCCGCCCTCGCGCGCCGAACACACGCATCATCAGGCCCCACACACCCCCACACGCAACAGCACCCTCTTGTCGCTGCTGATCACTCTCCCACCTCACACGAACCACACGTGGATAAAGGGCTCGCAGCAGCACAGGGGGCACACGCTCGCCCTTCCGTGTGTGAAGCCAGACACAAGTCGCCCTGTCAAACTGCAGAGGAGTGAAGGGACGGTAGAGCTCCAGCCACGCCCATTCGTCCATAGTGTCACCATCCGCCATGCAATCTATGTGCAGCGTGCCACAGGCACACCCCGCCAGCCACCGCAGAGCAGATGCAGTGGGTGCGTGCAGAGAGGGGATGACGTGAGAGGCGACAAACGGCGAGAGGTGCAGGTGCTCAATCGACAAAGCCACTCCACTCACACACGCAGCCGCATCTATCACTCCATCACACGACAGACACCTTGAGGCGATGCAGTCCACACAGAGAATCAAGCGACCCAGATCAGCGCCTTTCGCGGCGAGCACGTCAGCCAGTCGTCCGTTGCCCTGACGCAGCCACGACATGGTGGGGGGGTCCACAGGCACAGTGGACAGAGCACCAACATGCACAGCAGTAAGACAGCTCAGTGAGGGAGCCAAGGTGAGCAGCCTAGTCAGTGCGTAAGGGCAGGCGTGTCCCGTGACGTGCAGTCGCTCCAGGGCGCTGGAGCTTTCGATCCACCTCGACAGCCACTTGACGTTGTTTGCGTCACATTGGTGCACCTGACCGACCAACACGCAGACACACACAGATAATAGGCAGACGCACAAATGTCGTGCGTCCCTCACCGTGAGCTCACGAAGTGCACTCAGCTTCCACTGTCTGATCCACGCGAAGGGCAGCATCACAAAGTCGCCCAGCTCCACCTTCACGAGGCACTCAAACTGACAAACCGGGCCCACCAGCATCACCCATTGGCTGCATCCCCGCCTGTGGGGTCATACTGCCCCATCGCGCACACGAAACCACCCGGATCTCCCTGACACACTTGGCTGACGCTTCAATCACCCTCAGCAGCAGCCGCAGGCTGCCCTCCCAATGCTCCACGACGATACGCCGCACACCTGAAAGTGTCGTGACCCACCTGTCTTCCTCGGTAAGAGTGATGGCGTCGCCCCAAGCAGCAGCAGCGGCTCCAACAGGTCCGACGGTGAATGCCAGATGGGCGGAGGGGTGGCGCACGCTCTCGTAGAGGGAGTGGCACACGTTGGCGAGGGGGATGATGTCGATTGTGTTGAGGTGGACGAACGTGCGGCCAAGCAGATCCAGGGGGAGATCCGCTGCCGAGGCCTGCATCAATCAGCAGCCCTCAGCAGACACCGCAGCCAGACAGATCTCCGTTTGCCGCCGCTCGAACGAACGAACGAACGAACGGGGGGGCAAGGTCCCAGTGTGGAGTGTGAAAGAAGACGACGCAAAGCGAGCAGTCTCACGGAAAGCCCCCGCCGCGCGAAACGCACCCACACGGCCAAGAGAGAATGACTGACAATGACTTCTCACAGTGACGACAACGCGCGTCGTCTGATGTATTTCTATGACAAAATTGTCAGTCAGTCCAAGACACACACGCCCATCACACTGAGGCAGCCCAGCCAGCCAAGGGGAGGGAGCAGAGACAAAAGACAAGCCCCTCACGCCCTTGCTCTCCTTTTCTCTTTCATCCGCTGAGTGCGGAAGTGATGCGAACACGCGCCATTAATACCGGCACTCGACGGGCTGTCCGGCGGTGTCACTGCATCCACCACATTATTGCCCGCCGTCGCCCTGGGAGACGACCCAGGCGACGAGGCCGACACATCCTGCGACCCGTCTGCCTCCTCTTTGTTGGCGTGGAGGTCCAAGACGGAAGGCGGCGCATCGATTTGGCTAAAAATGCCTTTGACGCGTCGAAGGGCGTCGAGCAGCGGGGCGTTGGTGAACAAGGCGGGACTGGGAGAGAGAGAGAGAGAGAGAGACGAACAGGTGGGTGCCATGCGTGGCACGGCATGCACATTTGACTGAACCGGTGTCTGTCTTTCTTTTATCGTTCGTCTGTACCTACCGTGACACGGTGGGCACGGCAGTAAAGGGCCTGTCGCTCGTCACCTTCTCGCGATCGTCGTCATCTCCATCTTGCTGTTCGTCGTCAGCAGACGTCGACCGGGCCACCACCCTGCCTCCCACACTCGACCTAACCGACGCAGCACTGGGCGGCCGCCTCACGCCCCGCCTGCCTTGCATCACGGCCGCCGTCCTGTAGTACCGACCAAAGCCGCCCCCCAGTCTGGGAACCACGCCCCACTGCCCCACCCCCTCAACGTGCATCATCGACGGCGGTGCGCGGGACGGCAGGTCGGGCCGCGTGAGGGGCGTCGACGGCACCGTGGGGACGATCTTCGACCTTGGGGAGAAGCCCACTTGTGTGCGGCGGGATGAGGGCGGGAGGGAAGGGGTGGATATGGGGATGGGTGTGCGTGTGGTGGTCGAGCTGGGGCGGAGGAGGGGAGGGGACAGGGGGCGGGGGTATGCGCTCTCTGGGCGGCGAGTCAGACGCGCACCTGAAGAACAAACAAGAGAGAGAGACACGGTCTTGATGCGTTTCGGACGTGTCTCACGGTTCGTGACATTCATTTACCAGGGACAGGTGGTGTGCCGATGGGCAGCCTGCAAGCCCCCTTGAGCGTGTCAGGAAATCGGGGCATCTCCACCCGCCGCCCCGCCCACCCCTCAGGCCACACGTCCACGTCATAGCCATACCCATAGCCCTCGTCATAGCCGACAGCCATGAACAGGGGCACCCCGAACTCCCCCTCGGCCTCATACATGTCCATCCACGGCCTGGGCTCCCGCAGCAGCACAGTGGGCATGTCGTCCGCATGAGGCCTTGACGGCTCCCGGTCATCCCTGGGCAGCTCCATTGGCGATGGCTGTGGTGGCACTGTTGCGCGTGAGAAGAGGGAGAGGAAGTGGGCGGCGGTGAATGTCAGCGTCTCGAGGTGGATGGCTGCTGAGACGAGCGACGCGGCCAGCTGCCTTCTGGTGGCGTTGAAAGTGTGGCTGAACGGGCCCTCTCGGAGCTGCGATGCGACGGCCTCCCTTAGGCCCTCTTTCATGGCTCCATTCAGCTCGTCGATTGCGGCGAGAATCCTCCACCCACGAGAGGCGAGGACTGAGATGCCGGCTAGAGCCGCCTCGGGCAGGGCAAGGTCGATGACGATGTTGGCTGATGGCGTGTCCTTCACCTGAGAGATAAGTAAGGCACTGTCGAGAAGGGTGTTCATCTCTGTACAGAGATTCTCTTTTCACCGGCACATCAAGGAGGATTTTCAGCAGGTTGAGCAGGTGGCTGAGCGAATAGAAGAGCTGCACAAGGCCCTCCAGGAAGCGCCGCAGCAGGGCCTCCAGCCACACCTACAACCATCACACCACACCACACCACACCCATATCAGTGCCTCTATGGACCAAGCCAGCCAGTCAGCCGCGTTGCCGCGTTGCCGACCTTGATGTCGTCGCGCCTCCGAGTCCACTCGAGTACTCTCATGTCATCATCGCCGTCAGCCCCCCAGTAGCCGAGAAAAGGGCCCAACGACACGTGTGTCTGCAGACTGGCAATGGCAGCCGCATCGGTGTCAAAGGTGAGAGACAAGGGCGAGGGAGGGGACATGGCATCAACATTCTCTCTCGAGGCTCGGTGCTGCAGCCCTTTCTCTGCCTTGGTACAGAGCTCATCCCTGAGCTGGTCGAATGACCTCTGCAGCAGATACCGCCAGCCCTGCCGACCCACCTCCTGCCAATGTGCTGGTGGCCTTTGCGGGGCTCCCCCCTCAGCATGCCGGTGGTCGAATTGCGATACGTGTGAAGTCACAGTGCCTTCCTTCAGCCACTCCTCAAGCCATGGCTCCAGCCACGGCTCCTCATCTGCACACACACATACAAGAGTGCGAAAGACACCATTTGCACTTCTCCCTCACTGACCATCTGGCGCACTGATAGTCCTTGAGCCGCCGATTGCGATGTCAGCCCTCTCCACCTCACCTTCGTCGATTCCCTCATCCCCCTTGGCCCACTCGAGATTCTTGGTGGACAGTGTGGCGTATTCAGCCATCATGCTTGTCACCGTCTCGCCCTTCCTGTAGGTCGTCAGGCTCTTGCGAGGGGACGCCGGGCGCCCAACATCGCCAGCGGCTTCTCCTTCTCCACTCTCCTCTTGGTCGAGTGTTTCTTCTATTTTGCCTTCTGCATCCATCTGGAAGGTCCTTTTGGACACAGTCACGCGTCTGGCAGGGATGTCCTGTGTCGTGTCTTCTCCTTCTCCTTCTTCTTCTTCTTCTTCTTCTTCGCCTCTTCCGGCCCCGCCTGCCGCAGGCCGCCCTCGTGTTGGTGTGCGTCTGCCCTCAGATTCGATACCCTTGTAAGCTTCTTCTCCTTCTGTTGGACCCCCTGGTGGTCGTTCTGGTGGCTCGCCTTCCTCTGCTTCGAAGCCCTCGTATTCTTCCTCTCGGCCTATGGGAGCCTCCGGTGCCTCCTCGAATGAGACAGAGAGCACGGCCGGTGCTGACGGGGATCGTGCAATAAATCCCCCAGTCTGGACTCCTCGATCTTCAAGAAGAGATACGGCCGATGCGTCACGCTGACCGTATGACACGGCGAGTGACGGCCGCTGCGTGTCGATGGACACCCGCTCTCTGCTCTTCTCAGGCTCTTGTCTCTCCTGGATGTTTGAGCATTGCCGCAGTACCTTGAGAAGTCTCTGCAGCTGCAGCACGTACTTCCTCGTATTGGCACATTTCATCCTCTTCCCTCTCGGTAGGGCCATCAGCAGCTGCCGCCATGTCGGCCTCCCCTCTCCCTCTGTCTCCGCCATCTCATCCTTGAAGCCTTGCGCCCCCTCGGCCATCAGCCGACTGAGAGAGATGGAGGCCCGATCGAGCTCCATTTCCCACTCGCTGATCTGCCGCGACAGCTCTGCCGGGCTGGAGGCCCGGGTCTCCTCGTCTGAGCGTGCCAGCAGGCCCAACTGCACGTCGTCATAGGTTTGGTCGAGGAGGTCCTCTTCATCGGAAGATAGCCCCTCGTCTTCCTCTTCTTCCTCTGCTTCTTCCTCTTCGGGCGGCTGCTGCCGTCGAGTGGTTGGCTCCGGTGGTATGGCAGATGGGGCGGCGACGACAGAGAGGCGGTGTGGGGTGGCAGGGGGCGTCGCTGCTGCTATCGTGGCGCTCAACGGCACCCACTGTGTCAACAAGGGAGACACATCGGTGTTACGCGGACCTCTGTCGAGTCGGTCGGATGCAGCTTACCTCCTCTTCTTCTTGTTTCTCCTTTACCGTCTCCCGATCTTCAGCAGGGATCGGCCGAGACGCCAGCTGGTACTGGAGCTCCTCGAGCGCATGCTCTGTAAGAACAGGAGTGTGTGTGTGTGTGGATGTCAAGGGGGCGGGAAAACGGGAAGTTTGCCTGTCGGCTGGCTGCTTACCATTGTCTTGTATCCTTTTCAGCGCACTCGCCAGCTCAGCCCTGCAAAGAAGACAGGCCAAAGGCAGAGAGACAGAGAGACAGTTGGAAACGCGAAAGAACCATCTCGATTTTGTGTGGGTGACTATTCATTCCGTTCATCCATCCATCTATCTGTCCCTCTCTCTGCATGCGAATTACTGCAGTCGGCTCGCCTCGGTTCTCGCCTGTTCTGTCTCGATGCGGCTTCCATCAAACATCAGACGCAGCCGGGCCACCTCTGACACGCATAAGACAACAAATATCCAGCAATGCTCGATGGCTCACTGCCTGCCTGTCTGCCTGCCTGCCTACGTTCCGTCATCTCCATAGCCTGGGTATCGCTCGTCTCTTTGTCGGCCTTCAGGGCCCGGATCTGCCGGCCACGCCACAAAAGGCGCGGCGCACGCACAGACACGTCGGGTCGGTCACCATGTGTATGTTATGTGAGAGGCGCCCCCACACCTGGTCTCTAAATGAGTTGGCGATTTGTTGCTGGTTCTCGAGAGACACCAGCGCGCGCTCCAACTGCCCTGACTTGTCGGTGATGACGGCCTGCGCCGCATCGATCTCTCCCTGCAGCCGCTCTAGCCTGTCCTCAAACTGCTGCTTAATCTGCAGAGAAATGCCTTTCTTTGTCATCAGGGGATGGATGCAACACATACGGCTTTGTTTCCTTGTCCTTGCTCACCTGTTCCTCAAGTATTTTCAGTTCTTCTACTGCCTGTTCGTCCTCGGCGTAGAAGTCATTCTTGTCGAGCCTGTCCTTCGACAGCCACCGCACGTTGAACTCTGGAGCCTCGGCACCCAGGTAGCGAGACAGGAGAGACCGCAGGTAACACAACTCCTTCCAAAACCTGAAGGCAGCAGAGACGATTGAGAATCAATGTCAAGGGAGGTCGGACGGCTGGCTATAAGCAAATGCGTGTGCAGACCTGGTGCTTGCCTGGTGCGATACTTGTCGAGCATGCACTGGACGCCATGCAGTCTCCTGTCAGACAAATCCAGCTTCCTCTCTTTCTCCTCCACACTCCTCAGCAGCCGCTCCTCGCGCGTCACCCGAACGATTGCCACATCGAGCTCATCGGGGGTGTGCAGTCGCGCTCCTTCCATATACCCCTTGAAGTTCCCCACGACTGTCGGTGTCGCCTCTTGCCCCTCTTGCCCCTCTTGCAACAGCTGGGGCACTGACGACGACTTGGTCAGAGCATCAGACGCGTGTGGCCCGACAGGCAGCGGCGGCAGGCCTTCATTCACAGCCGCTTCAGTGCCAGTGACAAAGAACACCGCGAGGTCGTGGAAGAGCACCCTCAAGGCGAGCTCGAAGTCCGTGGCGGGAGGGGGATGGAACGGCGGCGCCACTCGACGGAACAGCCTCCTCACCTCGCTCTTTGTCACATCCAAAAACCGCTTGTAGAGATCGAAGAGCTTGAGCCGGATCTCTCGTCGCTGCCGATCCCGATACAACTCATCAACCTCCTCGGCGTATAGGGCCTGGCGTGACAGGGGGTGCTGTGAGTGGGGCTGTGAAGTTGTGCGAAGCCTCCTTTTGCGTCTTGCAGGCCGATGGTCTGGTGACCGGCCGCCCGCAGACGTTGCAGTGGCACTGGCCGGGGACCAGTGCTCATCGGCGTCGGCTTGGCCTTCCCCCAGCGGCACCTCCGAGGGATGTGCAGAAGGCTGGCGAGAGGAGTGGGAGTGCGAACTCGTCTCCATTCTGGCGCCGTGTTAAAACAAGCTGAAGCAAGGAAAGGAAACAGACAATGGGGCTTGAAAGGAAACGCTACCAGGACAAAACAACTTTGAACGAAGTCCACAACCGTTTTCCGCGCCCCCAGACGCCCCCACGGACGGAACGGAATCCGCAGCCGTCTTGTCGCGGCCGGCGCCTTTTCTCATCGATCCTCTCCCTGCTTTAGCTAGGAGACAGGGAGAGAGAGAAGTCTTCATGTCTGTGGGAAAATGCGTGTGTATGTGTGGATGTGCGTGTATTGTATGTTGGGAGAGACATGAGAGCAACAGAAACAAAGAAAGAAAGAAAGAAAGAAAGAAAGAGAGAGAGAGAGAGAGAGAGAGAGAGGGTAGGCTGCTGTGCAGTATGCACTACGTGTAGTATCACGGACGCACTCATCGGTAATCTCCACTATTATCGACAAGTCACGATTGCATGCATGCAGGTCATGGACGCCTGTATTGCTCGTACACTACATATCACATTGGTGGATAACACCCATTTTCAGACAGACATCCACGAGTGAATGAACGCTGCCTACCCATTGCTCACACACATAGATAAGTCGATCGATGCGTACGTGAATGCAGCTGGAGAGGGACTCGTGAATGGAATGGCGCCCATCAGCCAGCCCCTTCCCCAACTCAGAAGTATTCCACCTTCCCTGATGGCGGCGGCGGCGGATTGGCGGCGGCACGACGAGCCAGCTTATCCATCTTGCGCTGTCTGCACAGACACAGAAAGACACACTGATCCTCCCGGATTTGCCTTTCCCCGCCTCATCCCACAATCTCACTTGATGTTCATCCAGTCATCCCGCAGGGTTAGCCTCAACCACACTTCATACGTCATCTGACTGACGCCCAGCAACCCCAACGCGCCAATGAGCAACGCCGCAGCGGCAGCGAACACCACAGACGGGAGGCCAGGGTGGGAACCCTTTGCGCCTCTCGGGGCAGCGCACAAATCAGCTACCAGGCTACGCGTGCGGGTGGCGAGGACCGCTAGAGGACAGCAAAAAACAATGAGAAATCTCAGCGTATGTCTGTGTCATGGTCGCTTAGTGGCTTACAGCATGACTTGAGTGCCTCGATGTCTCTTGCGGCCATGATGGGGCCGCCCAGTATGCCGCTCGCGTGGTTGTTCAGCTTGGGCGCCAGCAGGTTGGTCAGGTCAGCAAACGCCGCGTACTGATTGATACATGCGGAGACACACGACCTTATTCGTTCGTCAATGGCCTCCATGTGCATCTCTGCCTGGTTGTCTTACCTCGCGATGCAGCAGGTTCATGGTCTGGTTGATCCACTCGAGCATCGTCGCATTGGTATCATAGAAAATGCCATCCAGCAGGACCCTTAGGCTTGGCCAAGATGTGGCGTTCGTATCAACCGTCGCGTTGGCCGTCACATTCCCTCGCACCACCCCTACCCCATTAGCCGACGTCCCATTCGACGTCCTATTGGTCGTGTTGCTTGCAGCAGCAGCAGCAGGAGGCGGACCCTCTGTCGTGGTGCTGATGCTTGGCCCATCCGCAGTAGCATTCAATGCAGCCGTTGGGGCCATTTCCAGAGGTGTCGCATCGTCAGCTGACTCAGAGGTGTCAGCCGTAGCTGCTGCCATGTATTGCTGAATGAATTGCGTGTCGAGGGCGAAAGACCTGGCCGATGCGACTGGGAATGGGAAAGTGAGCAGCTGCTCCTTCAACCGCGCAACACGGAAGGCCTGACAAAGGGTAGCAGAGGACATGTGAAAGGGTAGCAGAGGACATGTGAAGACGACACCCCCAGGGAGGATTGAAAGTGCGCCGACCTCTGCGATTGAAAGTGACCCGTAGGAGGATAGAACCTGCATGCACGCCACGCGGAACCCGGCGCCATGGTATGGGCCTGTCTGTCTGTTATTCTGTCTGTGTCTCACTGCGCGTACCAAGTCTTCACTAGGGTATGTGGCTGTGATGTATCTGCAGCTCGACGCGGGATCGGCACACTCATGCCATGGTGGATCCAGGCCTGCACCCAGCCAACCAATTAAGATGAATGAGAACACACCCTAGTGGCTGGCTGCCTGCAGCGGGGCCGCTTTCCGTTACGTTACGTACTTGTGAATGTCCATGGAGGCCTCTCCCGATTGATTAGGAGGTTCAAGTGATACGTATACGTCCACAAACCAGGCAGCACTGCATTAATTAGAGACAGGAAGGACAGCAAACAAGCGACACCGTGTCCCGTATACCACGCTCCTCAATTGCTGCCTCATTGACTCACGCTCTCTCGCTTCGTCCTCCTGGCCCGCATACGCCGACGACGTGCGCATGACATCTGGGAGGAATCCCTTGGCGTCGGTGTACGTGAATGTCTTGCCGTCCAGCGCTGCCGCATCCGTTGCGAGAGTCTCCAGGGCAGAGGGGTTCTGCTGAGTGGGCGGACGACTCAGACGCGAGAGATCTATCTCACTAGAAAACTCCAGGGCTGCAGCAATGCCTAGCGCATGGTTGATGTTGCCGTCTCCAAGTATGCACTGAGACACACACACATGCACCATGACATACGCAGAGAAATAGATCAGATGCTTCAGGGACTTGCATATCCTTCTCCACACCGTCTGGAGGATGTGCGACACATCGTCTTCTATCGGTATCCAGCCATCGGGGGAGATGTACCTCCCCCAATACTATCAAACAGACACACACAGGGGAGGAAAGGACCGGTCAGGTTCTCTTGTCGTCTGTTGCGTGAGTCCGTCATTACGTCGGTCGTGAGAACCCGCTCTTCCATGAGATAGCACACGTCGTCCAGGTGCATGGCCACCAGCACCAGCGCGCCACCCAGCATCAGCAAAAACGCGGTGAACGGACATGCCACCAGCCACAACACCGCAGACACAACAGCCAACCTTCCCTGTATGCTGCGCACCGACACACACAGAAGCAACGCACCATTCACTCACACGATGGATACCAATCCCCCACGACCACTGACCGTTTGTTGAGTGGGTCTTCGTCTCCCCGCAGTTTATCCTCTTTGTCGATGCCCAGAAGCCGATTCAAGTCATCATCAGAGTCAGACCGTATGCCGATCCTCCCGCCACGCACAGCTCCCGGTGCCTTCCTTTTCTCACCAGCACCACCAGCGGTGCTGGCAATGCCGCTCTCGCAAATGGGGTAGACTCTGGGCACGGTCGATGAGCGAGGAGACACGTCGATGGCTGCTGCTGCGGTGTGCTGCTGCGGTGGCTGTTGTGGGTTGTCGAGTGCCCACGCCTCTTTTGGCTGTGACGGGAGGGATGTGGGGACGGAGAAGGGATGCTCAACACCGGCAAGCACCTCAATGTCAGACTGCATCCGTCCTTGAAGCGAAAGAGTTGACTGTTATGTGTCCCTGTCTCACCGGTTGCCGGAAAAGGTATGTGAACAGGGCCGCCATGGCGATGCACAGCAGACAGGCTGCCACTGATCAATCAACACCCACCAATGGAGAAAGATGTGCACTAGTGAGACAGCCACACCTTGTTAACCATTGTCTCATACCACATGCCAGAGCAGCTGTGTAGAGGCCACACTCGAGGTGCCACGCACTCTGGAACACACACAGAAAGACCCCCTTCGTAAGCATATTTATGTCCATGTGCGTACTTTGTCGAATCGGTTCATGATTTTGTTGAATTGCTTTTCGAGGTCGCTGACGGCTGAGCCGACCACTGACTGACAGAGACACACAGACACAGACACACACATACACACACATACGCACACACAAGAATCCATCAAAGAGGATAGTGGCTGACATGAGCATGTTCAACGCGTTCTATGCTGTCGTCCAGGTGCAGCCGAGCCGCATTGGAGGGATGAATCGGATTGGTTAGGGAAGCAGATATCTCGAGACGTGTCGTTGATAACCGACCTGCAAACACACACCTACTCTCTTTGCAAATGTCGACTTGTGGCTGATTGACTGTCGATTGTCGACCTGCCCAGCCAGTGATGATGTCATTAGTGCGGAATGTGTCGAGTGTGTCCCATGCGCCGGTGCAGTAGGCGCAGTCATGCTCCTGGTACTTCTGGAACATCTCATAGATGCTTTTCAGGTCACTCGACGCATTGCTGAACACATCAACACCTGAATGCATTCATTAGTGGATGAACGAACACATACAGGCAGGCAGGCAAGAAAGACTTGTCTCTATCCTGCCGCACCGTCAGTGATGTCCTGTGTCTCGTCGATCAGCTGCGGCAGTACACCCCTGCCGTCCCTTAAGGGTCGGTAGACGTCATGCAGCTTGGCCCACAGCTACATGAATCAACGAGACACACACAAAAAGCAGACAGACAGACAGACAGACAGAAAGACAGACTCGAAACCTCACGTCAGCCGCTGACTGCAACAGCATTACTCACTCAGTCACTCACTGGTTCCAGCCCAATCCACATGTGTGCGCCGCTACCGCTCAGCGTCACCTCGAACAACTCGCGCAAGTCGCACTCGATGTCGATGATCATATGCCCCCCGTTCACCGCCCAGAAGATACTCAGCATCGAGCACAGTAGGACAGTCACACCGAAGCCGACAAGCACCCCAATCGTCCGCAGCTTCTTGTATCGCCGCAGCACGTCCCTCCGCTTCAAGAAGCGACATGGGCAGCACGGACAAGCCCTCCTGAACAGTAAAAACCAGAGCAAATCAGCACCGAATGCAGTCAGCAGTCACCCCGACTGCATGATACCAATGAAAAGAGCACGGCTTCAACATCAAGAAGCCGAGGTAATAGACGGCGAGCAAGACGCCCCCAAGCAGTGGGACGCTCCACGAGGCCAGGCTCGTCCCGTATGTGTTCCTGTCGAGCTTCAGCCTCCCCCCGTCCTGTTGCAGGTTGTTTGCGAAGGCCTGCCTGCCGAGCCGCATGTCCTGGACAGAAAAAGGAGCCCCGAGCGTCGGCAGGCCTGGCCATTTCAGCGGCTTGTCACGGCAGTAGTCGTCTAGCTTCACCATCCTCTGGAGGGAGCTACGCCAGCCCCCCAGCCCCCAAGCTCGCCGCTAGTAAGCTCCCCCTTAAGTGACGCAGACCTTCAAGGCAATGGAGACGTACAAGAAGATCCGCTGTTGCGGCGGCTGGGTGCACCGATGCAAGCATGTGTCGAAGGTGCTTGGCAACCTCGAGATGAACTTCACCGTCTTCACGCCGGCGGCTGCGGCGGCGGGATCGCCCGTGCCGCAGATCTACTGGCTCAGCGGACTCACATGCACCGACGAGAACTTCACCACCAAAGCCGCTGCATTCAAGAAGGTAGTTATGTACACGAGATGACGCCACATCACATGGGGAGTGCATCTCTGCCTTTGTGTGTGCAGGCGAATGAGTGCGGTGTGGCGCTGGTGATCCCTGACACGTCGCCTCGTACGATGGATGCGTCAAAATCCAGCCCGAGGCCGTGGTGTGGATGTGCTGTTTGTGTTTTGGTGGTTCAGGTGGCGCCAAGATTCCCGGAGAGGACGACTCTTATGACTTCGGCTCGGGTACGAGATGAAAGGACGTGACTGCTCTCTCGCCCTTGACCGCATCAATCGGTCCTGCCCCACTGCCTGCCTGCTGTAGGTGCGGGCTTCTACCTCAATGCAACCGCAGCACCCTGGTCCAAGAACTACCAGTAAGTGCGCACACACAGTGTTGCCGCCAGCATGCAATGCATGTATTTCTGCCGTTGTGTTTGTTTAGCATGTATGACTACATCGTGAGTGAGCTGCCGGCGCTGGTCAACGGCAACTTCCCCGTCAAGCCCGACAAAGTCGCCATCATGGGACACTCAATGGGAGGTGAGTTAGTGGCAGGTTCTGTCCGTCCATCATGGACTTGTCCGCCTTCACCCTTGCTGCTTGTGTGCAGGTCACGGCGCCCTCACTATTGCCCTCAAGAACCCCGACAAATACAAGGTGGTCACCATTAATGCATTCACACATCGAACGACCGACGCCCATGTGCTGTGCGGCCCTGTCGTCCGGTCCGTGAGTGTCTATAGAGTGCGTCGGCATTTTCGCCCATCTGCAACCCCATCAACTGTCCCTGGGGCCAGAAGGCCTTCAAGGGCTACCTGGGAGACGATACCGACGCCTGGAAGGTATGTGTGTGTGTGTGTGGCTCGCAGGACTGGAAAGATCTGATGGATCTGTCTGTCTGTCTGTCTGTCTGTCTGTCTGTCTTCGTTTCGTTCAGATGTACGATGCTGTTGAGTTGGTCAAGGGCTACTCTGGCCCCGACCTCCACTTGCTCGTTGACCAGGTTGGTCAGCTACGCCTCCACACACACACACACACACACACAAACGAAGAACGGACCGCATAGCACAGATCTGTACATATTGATGTGTTCCTGTCTGTTATCGCAGGGCGATGCCGATGAGTTCCTGCAGGAGCAGCTGAAACCCGAAGCACTGCAGGTGAGGTGGGCACACAGACAGAACAGACAGAAGGGGTGCACTGTGTGTGTGTGTGTGTGCGCAGGCCGCGTGCCTTGCTACGAAGGGTCTGTCGCTGACGCTGCGGATGCAGGAGGGCTACGACCACAGCTACTTCTTCATCTCGACCTTCATCGACGACCACATCCAGCACCACGCACACCACCTCAATTAAGTGAAGTGAATATATGAGGTCGGGAGGGTGACAGCGCGAGCACTATCACAATTAGCAGTCTGAGGGAGGGACTTTTATTGGTTTGTGCGTGTCGGTCGGGCACCGAAGTTCTGCGAGCGTCTTAGCAGCGTGGTTTATGCACTCGACGGACATCTTGCCCGCCCGTCGCATTCATTGATGCGACCGAGGGACGCATGGATGGATTGGATGAATGAAATGGCAGACAGACAGAAAAACCTGAGTGAGTCAGTCAGTGTATTGGTTCGTCTTCCCGTCACCGCTTCCGTGAGTGAACCGATCGTTTGATGTGATGTGTAGCTCTCATCCATCCATCCATCCATCCACAGCCGATCCAAAGTCACACAGGCGGAAATAAGACCCTCCCACTAAAGCAAGAGCACCAGCTGAGCTACCCAAGTCAACTAAGTGGGTCGGCCAGTCAGAGCACTCAGGCAGCCAGTCAGCTACACAGCGGCAAGACGGCAAGACGGCAAGCAAGACGGCATCAATCCCGTTTATCTGCCTAAGTCCACCCTATTCACAAATCACCCATTCTAAATCACCCATTGCTGCAAAGCTCTCTCTCTCTCTCTCTGTGCGTGTCTGTGTGTGTCTGTGTTTCATCTGCCCGTGTGTCCTCCCCTCCGTCCTTCCCTCTATCTCGGCGCCGTCTGTCTGTCTGTCTATGTAGGTAGGTATCTACTCCTTCCTGTACAGCAGCTTCCATCCATGCATCCATCCACCGCGATCATCTATAGGATGATGCAGCACTTGGGTTTGGCTGCATCGGGTGGCTGCTGCTGTGCCTGCACCACCGGCTGCGCATACGACGTGGGCGCCACGGGGCCGCCGCCTGTGGTAGTGGTCACCTGCACGGCCGTCACCTGACCAGAGGAAAGGAAGGGACGCACAGATACAGACAGATACAGGTCGTGTGGTGTGCTCTGCGTGTGTGTGTGGTGTGTGGTGAGGTGACCGACCTGCATGGGTGAGGCCTCTGCGAGTGTTGCTGTGGATGTGTTGAACAGCCGCTGCATGTCGCCCATACAGTCCTACACCCACACACGCACACACCCAGCCGTCCATCCATCCATCCACAAATGTCTGTGCGTCTGTCTGTCTGTCTGTATATATGTGTCTCGGCTTGCCTTGTACATGGCCCCGTTGCTCGTGACGCCGAGGGCATGGAAGCCCCATCGGCCTGTGTGGCCGTCGCGAGCCACCTTGGAGATGATCAACGCTGAGCGACATACGGCCAGACACAACACATGTGCTCGCTTGGCCTGCCCGTCAGTCTGTCTGTCTGTCTGTCTGTCAGCCTCTTCACCCACCGTCCCTCCTACTCACCTCGTGCATTGGCGCCCTCTGCGAGTTGGTATCTGGCGAGCTCCTGCGTGCCGTCCTCCGCACGACAGTAGGGGTTGGCCACCTGCGCGAACGTCACGCCCTGATTGATACATTGGGAGGAACGTACATATCACAACACACATGTGGGGGTGTGGGTGTGGGTGTCTGTAGGTATGTCTTCCGTCTGTGCGGTGTGCTCACATTGGTGTAGATGTTAATGCAGAAGCTGCACACGCGCATAGCATACACCCAAGGAGAATCGGATGAGAGGAGTATGGTCTTTTGTGTGTGTGTGTGTGTGTGTGAGTGTGAGTGTGTGTGAGCTTACAAGACTTGTGCCACCGTGGGCCCCAGGGCGTTGAGGTTGATCACTACTCGCTCGTCATCGCCCTCACCCTTGCCCTGACCACACACACACCACACAAACCCCACACAAATGGCGTCTGTGCACTCGACACACGAACACCGCTCTGGGCAACGAGACGTACCGTGAGGTTGTCACCGCTATGGCTGATGGCACCCGCCTCGGAGTGCGGCGCGGAACTCTTCAGATTGCCGAAGAACACCGCCTGACCGATCGATCGACCAATGGACAGACAGCCACACATGGACAGGACAGGACACACATCATGATGGATGTTGTGCGCAGCGCATGCCCCCGTTCAGTTGAGCTCACCTCTAGGAAGTTGGCGTGTGTGTCGAATATGACGGCGCTGCAGTCCAGGTCCACAGTGCCGAACGATGTGTCCCAACCTGCAGTGGAATGCATTTGCACACATGGACAGACAGACAGACAGACAGAGAGGGGTGGGTGGTGTTGTTTGTGGTAGGGATGCTTGAGGGCAGACTGGACCAAGCAGTCCACCCCTCAAAAGCCGACACATCACTCTAGCACCCTAGTTTAACGTGACAAAGAGGGTCGGGACGGCCTCTTAGACGCAGATAATAAGTGCAGTGCACCCACACCACCCACATGCGCCAGCCCCCGCCTTCCCCCGACAGCGTGTCGGGTGCTTGCGTACCTAGTCCACACGTGATCTTGGGCAGCGCCGAGGAGAAATCCACGACTGAACCTGCAGCCCGCACACGCCCAGGTACACGGCTGTGTGTGGTGTGGTGTGGGCTGGCGCCACTGCTCACCTTTCGACATCTGGAAGTTGACTCGCTGCACACTCGGCGCATGGGGAATCATCTGCCTGATACACACCCTCACACACCCTCTTGTCCCCACCTCACCTCACACACCACACCCACTCTCCCATCCCACCTGATGACCCCGTTGATGGCCGGCAGCACGTCCATGAAGTGCCGCCCTTGCGCAGGCGCGTCGATGGGCCGGATGAGCCACGACCGGGCGCTGGGCGGCTGGCTCTGCTGCGAGGCGTTACAGTGCAGTGCTGAGAGGATGATGGCCGTGGCGTTGCCCTTGTTGCTGCCCAGGGGGTACTTGGCCACCGACGTGTGCGACACTTCGTCCAGCACCTGCAGCAGGCCTGCACTCATAGCCAAATGCAATAACAGACAGCGTGTGTGTGGTGCCAGCGCTGCGTGTCTGCATCGATTCGTCCGTGCGTCCGTGCGTACCTCCCTGGACGTCATTGAATGACCCGCCGGTGTAGCAGCAGACGCACACGACCACCATCTGCACGTTGGGCGGCAGCCGGCCGAAGTGAATCGCAACCTTCTCTGCGATATGATACCCGTCAGACACACACGACCCACACACGTGGGCATCCATCCATCCAATCACTCACTGCCTGAGTGAATGACTGACCGTCGATGCCCGGCACCTTGCCCTCAGTCTCGTCGCCGCTGTGCGTCTGCAGCACCGAACAAACAGCGCAACAGAAAAGAACAAGTGCGATGCAGAAGCAGAAGCGGAGGCGCATGTGTGTGGGAGTGTGTGTGGATGTGGGTGTGGTGTTGCGGCCTTACTGACCACAGCCCTGCCGCATGCCTTGAGGTTGTTGTAGTAGGCCGCATCCACTATGCTACCGGCGAAGTCAACGACGAGCGCCTGCACCTGCACTCACCAGGCAAACCAATGCTATCAAGCGACGCTGTCACCACTGCTATCAAGCGTGTGGATGGATGCTCACGTCCAAGTCGACTGGCGCGTGTGCACCGAAGTCCCAGCTAAGAGCGAATGAGTGGCTACGCGAAGGATCTATCGCGAAATCCTGAGAGAGATGCCGCAGACAGACGCAGACAGGCGGCGCATCTCTCTCTCTGACGTGTCCATGAATCTGCCCTGTGCGGCCTGCCATAGTGCAGCCGTGTGGCCCTCCCACTTGGCTTGGCTGACCTTGTTGGTCTCCAGCCGCTGAGCCGACGAATCGTCATACGGAGGCGGGGCGCTCATTTCTTTGACGCGACTCACAGTTCCTTTGCCAACAGCGATGCAACACACGCCCTCAAGGCAGAAACACAGCCGGAAGATAGAACAGGCCTGCAAGCTCGAAGGTCAGCTCGCAACCCCTGATACGCCTGTCTGTCTGACTGTCTGCGGATGAGTCCATATCGCATTCGGCCGGACGCACCACATGCAGCTGGCCAACTTGCACACGGACCATCCCACTGACAGCCAGCCAGCCAGCCAGTCAGCCGCCCAGTCCAGCGGGTCATCCTTCGACCGACACGATCATGCTGCATGACAGAGACCAACACGCAGGCGTCTTGTGGATACACATCAGATGCATGTCTGCATCATCTGCGGGGCTCACTTTGTAGCTATGGCGCCTGGCCGTCGAGGACGATAGCTGCGATGGGAGTCACCAGGCGGCGGACCTTGGCGGCCGTCAGGGGGAATCGCTGGGCGAATGGGGCCCCCTGAGGGACACCCGCTGCTGGCGCCTCGGTGGTACGGATGTTGACGTGGACTGCACGCAGACAACAGCAGAGCGGATGGTCCGACGACACGACAGCATGATGATGGGTTGTCAATGTGTTGTCAATGTGTATGCGTACCGCTCTGGTTGTTGGCTGGGCGGATGCCAAAGAGAATCCAGGCGATGAATGGGTCGGCAGCCGTTGTCAGCACGTGCGCCTGCCCACAGAACCCACTGGCCCGCTCGCATGCCGTCACGTCCGAGCACTCGTCGAGGGGCGTGTGCGGCGATCGAGTCATGATGCGGTCGACGTGGCCGCCACGCACACGCCTGACACACACATCAATAACGCACCACATAGTCATTCGCCCTCTCATTTTGTGCCGTCCATCCACTCACTCATCCACCGCCACTGTTGGCGAGTAGGTGAAGCCGCCCACAGCCCGCAACCGGCGAACCAGCATCAGGCTCTTTAACAGGGAGCTCGCCGATGCGTCAACAGCCCCGTTGTTGACGCCACCTGTCGCCCAGCCCACACCATGCTGCCACCGAATGCGGCTGCGGACTGGTGGGTCGTGTGGCTTGGTGTGGTGGGTGAAGGGGTGCTGCGAGAAGGGATGGACGGGGCGGTTGGGGAGGGGGAGGGGCGGGTTGACTGTGATGGTGAAGCCGGGCTCGTTGCGGATGGCGCGAATCTCGTTGTTGTGGCGGAACAGGTGGAGTGTGCCGTCTTGCTGGCCGTTGGGGCGGCGGAAGGCCACATAGCGGCCGACGAGCATCCACTGAGCACAGAAACGGGGCAGCGCCAGGAAGTCCTGCATTCAACAGCTCACATCCAGCAGCTCACCCATTGCCCCTTCTGTGTGTTGTGCTTACCGCCTTGGTGGCGTGTGTCTGCAGATCTACAGCACCCACAGTGACCGGCAGCTGGCAGCAGCCGCAGTGCTCGGCGACTCTGAGTGTGTCGCCCACCTCCCGCCAGCCGCCCTCGCCCCCCTCCTCCACCACCCACATGGCCTTCAGCACGTCGCGGTGGCTCAGCTGATCGTCGAACTGTACCACACCGCTCACCCCCGCCCGCTCGATGGCCTTGTCCAGCCGAAAGCGTCGGACGATCGGCCGGAGGGCATTTCTGATGGGTAGGGCTGTCGACTTGAGGTGGGCGACGGTGGTGAGGTCAGACAGCGCCAGGACGATGCTCATGGGCTCGGCAGGGATGTCAGTCAGATGCAGCCGTCGGGCCTGATTGCACACATAAGAGGTGCACACCGCATCAGTGTGGGTCTTGCGTTTGTGCCTGCCTGTGGCCACTCACTCCCTCACCTGTGTGCGGCTATGTCTTGTGAGTGCGATGGTCGAGTTGATGGTGTCTGTCAGGTCGGCCAGCAGGTCGGACACAGCCTCGAGTTGACGACTCACCTTATCCACCATCTGACGAAGAAAGTAGCCTCGACAGACACACAGAGAGCTTTGTGGTGTGTGGTGTGTTTGGCAGCCTGCCGCACCAGTGGTGCCATCGAAGCTGCGGTGTCCATCTGCAGGAGTTGGTCTATGCAGCTGTTGATCTGCGCACGCACACCACACACACACACACAAGCAAACAGCGATAAGCTTTGGATGCACTGCATGGAATGGACGAGTTGGTTGGTGTGTTGGTCGGCTGGCTACATGAGCCTGCTTCATCCGATGAACTTCTACTCGGGGCAGCAGCTGCGCCCGTACCGCTGCGCTCAACTGCACCAAACCGAATGGCAAACCACACACACACCACAAATGAGCGGCTGGCCTGAACCTTCCTCTTCTCCAATTCCTCTTCTCTCACCTGGGCGGCGGTACTGGCAGCCATGAGCACCTAAGTCGCGAAAGCTATGAATCGGAGTGCTGTTTTGTGGCTTCAACGGGCTCTGCAGCTGGCAAGAGCTGCTCACGCAGACGCATTGCAACCATCTGCACCACACCGACCGGAGGACAACACAAACAGCACAGCACATGAACTGATTCACGTGCGTTGCTTCATGCTTTGCTCATGCATGCCTTCTTGGCCTGCAGGCTCCTCTCCTCTCACCCGAGTGTGATTGATGTTGACGGCCATTCAGAAAAGCAATCCTTGCGAGCTCAATATAAAGCTCGCAATCAGCCCTTCCCGAGAAATGACAAGCTGCCATCCCCTCAGGCTGGGCCTCAGCTGATGCTGACGATGACCATCTCTTGTCCCGTCCAGCCACTAACACACCCCGCCGCCGCCTGAGCACATCGCGATGAAGCAGCGTTCACCGATGAGGGACCTCGGCGTCCCGCTGCTTGCCCATCATCAAGATCCCCATGTGTCGGCTGCAGTCCGCTCCTCGTCCACGACGCGTGCCGGCGGCCCAGCGCCATACAGCACCATGGCGGTGCGTGAGGCCAGGGGTGCCGATGTGGCAATCAACACAAACACCACGGTGACCGGCGGCAGCAGCGGGAGCGTTGGCTTCAAGACGCACCGGTATCCGTGGCTGGACCTGTACAGAGGGCTGTTGTGTGTGGTCATGGCCTGGGAGTGCGCCATTGTCTTCCTCGAGAGCGTTGCCGAGGCCGCCAGCGGAGAGGAAAACTGGACAGGTCAGACAGACAGACAGACAGACAGACAGATGGACAGACGAGGGAAGTGCAGCGCGTGTGGGTGTGGGTGTGTTGTGTGTGTTGGTGGTGTGTGTTTGCAGGTGCGCTGACGGATTACAACGACGATATAGGTTACTTTGTGGCCCGGCAAGTGAGCATGGTGTGCGCGCCTGGCTTCTTTTTCTGTATGGGCGTCTCCATGACGCTCTTCGCCATGCACAGAAGAGAAAAGGGATGGAACAGACTCAGGGTAGGGAGGGAGGGACGGACGCACGCACGCCGGCCCGCGGCACTCAGACAGACAGACAGACGCACACCACCACCAACGGACAAACAGCAGCTCTCATGCATATCTGTCGCATCGCTTCGCATCGCGTGTGTGTGTGAGTGTCTGCAGATAGCTCGTCATTTTGTGGTCCGCGGCGTGTTGTTCCTGCTGCTAGATCGGGTGGTGTCGGTCATCATCGCCTCAGACCTCATCGCCAAGCAGCCCTTCTCGCCTCCCCCCACACCATCATCCCCACCGCCCTCCCCTCCCGAGCCCTTTCCGCCGTCGGCCATCGAGCGGTACCGGCAGATCACCGCGGCCCACGGCATCTTTCCCTCCCTTCTCATCGGCTTCTACCAGCCCCTCACCGCACTCGGCGTCTCTTGTGTCCTTGTGGGCCTGCTCATGCCCGTCATAATGGCCACAGCGCAGCAGCGGCTCAAGACACCGTTGGCGAGCTACCCGCCGCAGCTCAGGAAGAGGCGGCTTGGGAGGGGGTGGGCGGCCGTGAGGCGGCGGCTGCTCGAGTTTGTCAATTTTGCTGTGGGGCAGGCGCTGGCCGTGTCGCTGGGGATGGCGTGCATCATCGTCTCGAGTGTGGTGGTGGGTCTGGCACAGACGCACCACCACACCACTGGGGCGTGGCCTGGCTATGGCGCCGTTGCGACATCGGCGCATGAGATCGTCCTGAGGCTACTGGTCTTTCCCGGACGGTGAGCGAGTCAGTCCGTATGCATCAACGGCGCTCTCTCTGTGTGTGTGCGTGTCTGTGTGTAGGTGGCTGTACGGCTCGTTCGATTACTGCATTCTGCCCTGGATCGGCCTCACTCTCTTCGGCGTGGCTGCTGGTGGGTCAAGGAGGGGAGGAGAGGGGACACTGAAGCAGCCCCTCTCTGTCGTCTAACCAACCAACCGGTGTGTATGTTATGTGTAGGTGTTGAGATGCGCGAGGATGTGCGCGGTGCCCAGGTGCGGTGTCTGGTCAACGCCCTGCTGTCAGCCATGTGCTTCTTGATGCTGCGCACGCTCGGAGGCGCTTTCGGCAACCTCAGGGGCTGGCCGAGAGGCGAGCACGCCGGGCCCATGAGGGGGTTCCTCACTTTCAGCAAGTACCCACCGTCTCTCTCCTACTTACTGCTCACCCTTGCCGTCAACTTGCTGCTTATCGCTATCGCTATCGCTGTCGATACTCTGCTTACACCCAGTAAGAGCTCAGCAACGAGGGAAGGACACTCCACGTGACTGACGTGCCACACACACAGACGGAGCGCTGCATTCATTGTGTGTGTATCAAATCAAATCGGTGTGTGTGTTTTGATTGCAGAGTTGCGGCCGCGTCCGATAGTGCCTGGTTCAGTCGCGCAGCCCCAGTCCAGGGACATTGGCTTCCAGCCGCACCAGTCGTCGGCCGCCTCGTCAGCCTTTTACCCTCCGTACCCCTACGGGCTGCCCCTCCCCGTGCCCCTGCCCCCCTCCTCCATCGACACCCTCCCCCCCGGACACACACACATGCACATGACCACCATGGCCACCATGACCAGCACCACCAGCAGCAGCAGCACCGGCAGCAGCTCTGCCTACACCCACATGGCCCACCTGGCATCCACCAGCAGCACCGTCCCCACCGAGTCGATGAGCGACGGCTATTTCGGCAAGAAAAAGGACTATGGCTGGGGATCCTACCCCTCCATGGCTGGTGCTGGTGGTGCGGACGTCGGCAGGAGTCTCAGCGCGGAGGCGGCCAACGCCACGCCGACCCGACTGCGCGAGCAGCGCCCGCGGCGCGGGAAGACCTGGGGCTTGTGGTGGCAGAGACAGGGCGGGCGGCTGGTGTCCCCTCTTGTCAACTACGGCAGGGCGCCCTTGTTCTTCTACGGCGTCCAGCTGGCTGCTCTGGGGGTGTTCGGGATAGTGCTGCGGCTGGTGTGGCGGGTGGACGGGCTTCCTCTGGCGTGGGTGTGGGTGCCCTGGGTGGTCCTGCTGGTGGGGCTGCATTTTGCGGCCAAGGCCTACAGCCAATGGAAGCTGCGCAGCCCACTGGTGTCTTGGAGACACCTCCTGTGAGTGAGGCAGCCAGCGCATTGCATTTAGCGCCGTCCGTTGGCTGTGCAGTACATGGGGAGGGAGGGCGCGGTTGCGTTGTGTGTGTGTGAGTTAGTCTCATGAGGGGGTGGGTGGGTTGAGTGGCCGGACCGGACAGACCCCCCTCTCTCTCTCTCTCTCTCTGTGTGTGTGTGTGTGTCTTGTTTGTGTCAAGGTGCTTGCATCGGCAAGCGCGGCGCAGTCTCATTCTCTCGTCCGCTTCCCCCCCTTCTCCCGTCAGTTTTCTTCTCTCTCGTCCGTCCGTCCGTCCGTCCGTCTGTCCGTCTGTCCGTCTGTGTGTCTGTCAGTTTGTATGAGTTGGTCCCTCCCTCTATGGTGTGGTTGTTGGTGTGTTATATATAGAGAGACCCAACCCACATGCACCCACAGCTAGGGGCGGAAAGGACGGCCGGCCGGCCGTCCGCAGTACATTCATTCATTACATGACATATATGAACGATGCTACAGTCTACGGTAGGTACGCCGCTACAGTACCTGCGGTACGGTGCGCACAGTGGCGTACCTGCCGCCTCGTTTGTCTGTTGTTTCTCTTATAAATACATATAGAAAGAACGACCAGCACGGCTCGCACAAGGCAAGGATGTCTGGCGTGGCGGCCTGCCTACCTGCCTACCTGCCTGCCTGCCTGCCTGTCAGTCAGTCAGTCAGTCAGTCTGCGCGAGTCCGTCACTGAGTGTGTGTGCGTGTGAGTGAGTGAGCTGGTGTGTTGTGAGGTGGGTTTTCATGATTACTCGACTGGATACCATACAGGCAGGGAGGTGGGGTGTGCGCCTGAACAGAGAGCTAGCCAGTGGCCGGCACTGACATGCAACCAATCAAGCAAATCACATCAGTGGATGGCTGCAGGCCGGCCTTTCAACGTGGCGGGCCTGCAGCGGGCCGGGCTGGGGGAGGGGGATGCACTAATCTGCCGTGCCGTGGCGCGGCGTGTGTTTACTAGAGGGAGGGAGGGAGGGAGGGAGGGACAGAGGGGGGCGGGGGCTGGGATGGGAGGGGTGCAATAAGGGAAGGGAGAGGGGTGGCTGGCTGACAATCGCGTCATACATCTTCTTAGGGAGATAATGACGTTGGTATGTTATTCTGCTAACGGCGTTTTGCGCTGCACACAGACAGACAGACAGACGACCTCGCCATAGACACTCCGCCCGCCTGACACACCGGACCGAGCCTTTTCGGCTTGTCTTAGTTAGTCATTCCGTCAGGCAGGCAGGCAGGCAGGCAAACAGGCACACACAATGGTAGCTAACTTTGCCTATCCATCCATCCATCCGAGAGAGGAAGGGGATTGAAGGGAGAGAACGCGGTCGGTCAGTCTTTCCAGCCAGCTGAAGATTGCGTGGCGTGTGTTTCTCCCACGGTAGGTAACCGGTCGGTATGTTATACTAGCCATTCGATGATGATTGAGTGCGTGTGATGTCATTGATGTGGGCCCGTGCAGTGAGTGAGGTTGCAGTGAATGACACGAGAGGGGGTGTGCGGCGAGAGAGGGAATGTGGGGGTTGCGTCAGGGGGCAAGAGCAAGACAGCAGGCAGTCAGTGGTCATGGGATCCGGATCCACCAAGCCATCAGGACACTCTTGATTGACAATGAACGAACCATCCTGTCTGTCTGTCTGTCTGTCTGTCGGTTCAGCCGTGCATCATCCAAAAGGGCGCGAGTGAAGTCTCACACGTACGTCACCACCATGCAATGCAGCGAACATCAATCAACGCACAGATCGGCATGCGACGGACGGTGACGCTGCCTGCCACCGACACATGGCATGGCATCATCAGCTAGCTGCCGTGTCTCATCTATGGCGCACACAACCACGGCACACAAGCAGCCCCTCCTATCCATCAGGCTGTGTCTCTCCCCTTTGACAAAGCCGTCCGACGTCATGGCAGCTGCTGCGATGAAGCTGCCACTGCGTTGGACGGGATTGTCAAAGGAGAGAGTCCACCCCCGACAGGAGGGGCAAGTCATCAACAAAAATCACGCGCAGTGGCAGCCGGCCAGTCTCGTCAGTCAATGAAACGTCGAGCTGTGTGGGGGCAAGACGTAATGAGACCGCCTACACAACACAACACATACGCACACACACACACACGTCAGTCAGTCAGTCGGTAATATCCTTTGTGTGTGAGTGAGTGTGGTGGTGTCGTTGAGTTGATGTGTATGTTTATGTGTATGGTCGCTCACGCCATGGAAGCCAGGCTGTCGTCCATGGATCCGTTGACGCTGCCCACACCGCTGCCGCCCTGCCCGGCGCCCCCCACTCCAATTCCCATCGCCGCCCCGCCCGTGACGCTGTCGGCCATGTTCACGTTGCTGCCAGGGGGGTAGTTCTCTCGGACGCTCATGAAGCTGCTCGCCATGTTGCCACCTCCCTGATCCATAGGAGGAGGCCCCAGATGCTGCTGCTGCTGTGGCGGCCCGCTGCCCACGTCGCTGCCCCTCCCAGCAGCAGGGGCAACGGCAGCAGCAGCAGCAGAAGAAGAAGCATCACGATGGTGCCCCAGGTACTGGCTCTGACTCCCGCCGATTGGGATGTACTGGAATGAAGAGCTGACAGGTGGTGCGGCTGAGGACGGTGGGACGCTGGGAGGTGCGACAGAGGGTGGGGGCTGGTGCGGCGCGGACCGCATGGCGGCGTGGTGGTGGTCTGGCATGACCCATGAGGCAGATGGTGCTGGGTGTCCGGCGAATGGCGGCATGGCCATGGATGAGGCAGGGGGGAACATGGGCATGGCGCCCAGACCCTCATAGCCCGCCTGGGGAGGGCCGGGGGGAAAGGAACCAGGGAGGGGCGGTGGGGGCTGATTGACCAAATCAGTACAGTACGCACACAGGATCCTCATCCAGTCACATGTCAGTCATCGAGACGCTCCACCATCTATCTGCCCTCCCTCCCTCCCTCCCTGCCCCTCTCACTCACCGGCATGAAAGGGAGGCCGGCCATGGTGGGGTCCATCGGGCCACCGGGGAAGCCGCCCGGCGGGTGGTGAGCGAAGGCAGGTGCGTTGGGCGGGGGTCTCATGGGCGGTGACCTCTGTGACCTCTGGGCCCTCTGCTGACCACCGCCGGTGCGGTTGGGTGGGAGGAGGAAGGACGGCAGGCAGCTGCTGACGGTGTCGGCCCACGCCGGCGGCAGCAGGCTCAGGAGCTTCCCGGTGCCGTCCTCTGCGTATGTCCATGGAATGGAATGCAAAACACAACAGGACAGACAGACGGGCAGACAGACAGGAGCCCATCATGGATGGCATCATGCTGTGCACTCAAGTGTCGGATGGATGGATGTGTGCCAGCCAATCTTAGTTACCGTGCATGACGAAGACGATGAATGCGCCGATGACTGCGACCTGCACGGCCGATGTAAGGATGTCGCCGAGGCCGCCCCAGGCACCCGAATTGCCGTTGCCGGATACCTCCACCAAATACGACTGAACAAGCCAGCCAGCAGAGGTGGATGCATTTGGGAATGTGCGTGGCGTCGGTTGTGTCGTTTGTCCGCTCACCATCGGAGGTTTGATGGCGTCAACCAGGTTGGTGTAAAGTCGGTCGTCAATCGGCTGCTGAGACCTGCACGCACCCACAGACACAGACACAGACACCGACACGGAAGAATTCCCACATATGAGCCCTTCCTTTCTTTGGCGGTTCCTCCCTCTGTCTGTTTGTCTCCCCCACTCACTTGAAGAGTGCGGTGGCGAGTGTGTGGATGCCCTTAGCCGTCCTGCTTTTTTCGGCAAGGACGGCCTGAAGGTCGGCCTCGTAGGCCGCCACACTCTCACCCGCAGCAGCCTGCCCCTGGTGCTGCCTCACGGCCGTCTCGCTGGGCTGCAGCCGCCTCGCACGCACATCGTCGTCCACCCACACCAGCCGACGCAACGGACGGTATACACCTGTGTGGGCATCATAGCACAGCACAGCACAGCACAGCACACGTGTGGACGTATGGACATATTAGTGTAGTGTGTGGTTTCCCATTCTCTCCCCACTCGCTCAACTCAACTCACCTCCCAATGCGCAGCACTTCCACAGCTCCGCAGCGGCCAGCTCGCCGTCCTCCAGCGACGCCTCGAGAGACGTCTTCAGAGGCGGTGGGACGATGGCGTGGTTCAGTACAGCGGGACGGGCTGAGGGACTGGTCTCCTCCTCGCCCTCAGAGCCCTCCGTCTCACCCTTGGGGCTCGTCTCTTCGTGTGCTGTGGCGATGGCCACGACAGGCTCATCTGCTGCCGTCTCTGTCTGTGGCTGCTCCAGTGCCCCGCCCTCATCGCCTTCCTTCTCCGTGCAAGGAGTCTTCTTGGCGAACCACTTGGAGAAGAAGCCAGCAGAGGGGGGGGCAGCCAGGGCTTCCGATGAAGTGGCGCCCTCCTCGCTCTCATCTGCGCTGGTCTCCTCGGCTGTCGGCTCGATGGTCTCTTGCTGCCGTGTGTCGGGTGTGGGGGTATCTTCGACGACAGCCTGTGGCTGCCTGCGCTTGCTGAACAGGTTCACACCGCTCTGGAAGATACCGCTGACCTAAAAAGAAGAAAGAAACACAGAGGAGGAATTGTCTGGATTGTTGCCGGCCACAATCCAACGATTGATGTATGTATCTATCGCACTTTGTCTGTCTCACCGACCCTACCCCGCTGAGCATCGATTTCTTGGGCATGACCTCCCCGCCCTCATCGCCATTGCCCTCCTCATCCACAGGGCCATTCTCCACAGCACACATCTCCGTCCCAATCACCTCGACCGCTGGCTTGTGCTCCTCCTGCTGCGCCACGGCCGCTGGCTGCCCCTTCAAAACGTCCCCCTCTCGGCTGACAGCGCCAGCGTCATCCTTGTTGCTCGATGGGCGTGTGTATCTGCCCAGGATGGCCCCGAGTGACCACCGGGAGGTGGCGGGCCGTGTGACTGTGTCGTCGGGGAGGGGTGGAGGGGTCGGCGGGGGCGGGGGTCTAAGTGCCTCTGAGATGCGGATGGAGGTGAGGAGGGCCGTGTGGGTCAGCTGCAGGGCGGTGAGCTCGTCCTGCGGACGCTGCAGCTTCTTCTGCACGAACTCTGAGGGACGGCAAAGGGCAAAGGAACGGATGGGATGGGATCGGTCGTGGGTGTGTCGTGTCACCCGCCCACTCCACCGACCAACCTACCTTGTTTGGCGAGGTTTCTGAGTGCCACAGCGACTTTGCCGTAGACCTCCTCGGCATCCAACACCCACCCCTGCTTGGTCCGACGGTAACTGAAGATGCTCACCGGCGCATCTACATCCACACACCACACACACACACAACACACCAGCCTCCATCTCTCCCTCCACAGATGCATCCTATCTATGTTGTGGTATGGGTGTCTGTCAGTATTGATTCACCCACCTTTGCCGTCGTCGAGTTGGATCCTAGGGTGTTGTCCATCTTGCTTGACGTACTTGTCGAGGTAGATGCAGCAGTGGTGCAGCCGGTCGACCAGCGTGTGCCAGTTGAGCTCCAGCAGGGGGGCGCTGATGGCCGGGTGGTCAGTGCACTCGCACAGACGCACCAGCACCAGCCGGTTCAGCACAGGTGACTCAATGCGCTGACACAGACAGAGGGAGGGACGACAGACAGACAAGCCAGTCAAATGAATGAATCACGTCGCAGCGCAGCCAAATGAATGACCAGCCTATCCTGTTCGTTCTGGCTCACTCACGAGTTGCTGTGCCACTTTGGAGACTTGTCCATAGATGCGGATGCGTGTCGGCCGAATCGCCTCAACACGGTCTGACACACCTGCACACAAACACGCACTCAGTCAAGTCTGGACACCCTACCCACGCCTCTGGCGTTTCTCTCTCATCTAGCTGGAGGGCGGCAGTGAGTGCGGATGCCATGTCAGCATCGGCACCTTCATAGGTCCAGAGGACAGAGAGCGGTATGTATGAGAGGGGGTTGTTGCCCTGGTTGATGGACACGCCGCACAAAGCACCGGTGCCGACCACGATGGGCACCTCGAGAAAACGACGGATGGGGTGACGCATCGCGATACGCCTGCTCCTATAGCATGGCAAGCAACTAACTCTGTCGACGGTACTTCGGGGAAGAGATTTCAGTGTTCAAGGAATGCGAGCTTGTACTGAAGAAGGAAGAGATCCCTGCGGAGACCACCATGCAAGCGATGACGCGTTGATGGATAGTTTTGCACTGACATCTTCACAAAAAAACCATTGCCATTCACTCTTGCACGTGAACACCTGATGATCTAGGGACCTGCCTGGTTACGTCACAGAAGCTTCACTCACTCACCTAAATCTGACTGACACCTTCCTTTCTCTCTCCCCGCCGCATCAATACCTACACCCTACACACCCCCACGTCAGCCATGCACCCACCTGCCGTCTCTCGCCAGAGTCGACCAACCCACCACCCGGCCGATCAGATCATCTCGTCCATTCGTTGTCCAGTGAGTGCCTCTGTCTGTCACAGTTCGTCGTGTTCGCCTCCCTCCCACAGTAGGTGTTCTATGTCGTGCTGGATGGCCAGAGGGTCGGTCCGGTGGGTGTAGCGCTTGAACGGCCGGCCCTTCTTGTCTATCAGGAACTTCTCAAAGTTGTCCTGCTCGTTCACACAGCACAGCACGCCACGTGAGCCAACAGACAGACACAGACAGACAGACAGACTCATCCATGAGCTGGCGCGTGTTTGTTTTGCCTGTCTGGCTGTGTGCCTTCCTTCCCTCCCTCGTCGCTCCGTCGATTGACAGGTACCTGTATATCGTGCTTGCCGCAGTTGTCCGTGAGCCACTTGAAGACCAGGTGCTGGTCACGGCCCATGACGAGGTGCCTCTTGAGCATGGTAAACCTCGGCTCGACGCCCAGCGCGTCTTTGATGTCTTGGAGTATCTCGAGCCCCTCCTTGGGCTCCGACTTGTCGATCTGGTTGGTGGGAAATGCGAAGATGCGCAGACCTCGCGAGTGGTACTGGTCGTGCAGGTCGTTGAGCGCCTCGTACTGCTCCTTGGCGTGGGGGTCGCGGGTGGCGACTATCACACACAGAACTGGGTGGCCCTTGAACCTGCAATCACACACACACACACACACACACACACAACAGACAGCACAGCACAGCACAGCACGGCATCACTGCAGACCAGCCACGCGTGTCTGTCCCGGTGCATGCGGTGCATGAGATGGGATGGTCCTACAGCTGACTGACTCGTGGAATTCATGTATGTGTTCTCCGTCGATGTCGAAGAACATGTAGTGGCCGAGCTTGTGCCGCCGGTCCCACTTGCACTCCTCGCCAACGTCACCCTTCGGAGGGGGCGTGTTCGATAATGTCAGCCTCGGGAGCACCAGCAACACGCACACAATCGACACAAGCACCCTCGGGTGGGCAGCCCTTCTTCGTTTCATCATTCAGATGCCTCAAGAGCCTCCAAAGCACGGCAGCAGCGGCCAAGAGCCTCCCAAAGCCTTGAGATCTCTCGCAGGGGAGCAGCAGCGGTTTCATGGAGCACCCTAGGCGAGTCATGCGTGCTTAGGAGTCAAAGTTTGCAAGGATCCCTCTCCCCTGGCCGCATTGCGTTCGAGGGCGTTTGAGAGTGAACAAATTGGACGACGTCCCGGCGAGACGGTTTCAGTCAAGGACCATGAAGGCAGCCGTCTTGGAATGTGGCGGTAGCGTCCGCGTGCGGTCTCTGAGCGGCATGGATGCACGAGAAGGCCGGCGACTGATTAGCCTGGCAAAGGAGAAGCCCAAAGAGGCGCTGGATGAGTGGCCAGAGGCGAAGCAACAGGTGAATGAGATTTCAATGAGTGAAACCTGTGCATGGAGGACAAGTGAATGGCATTCATGTACCTCTATTCCTGCAGGCGCTGTGCTATCACCTGTTGGATGTGTTGCGCGACGACGGCCCATCGATGTCATTCAGCCGCAGTGAAGAGCGCCTGCCCAAGCCCACAGACACGTCGGACACCACCAGTCCTGCTCCACTAAGACTTTGCCTGCGGGATTTGTGGCCGGTGGTGCTCCGCTGCCTGGGGAGGCCGCCCACACACATGAGTGAGTCGTCATCGATGGCCACAGTGGCCGTCAAGCTCTTGCAGAGGTGCGGTGCGTGCACACGACGTTGATTTAAGTACATTCATTCGTGGTGTTGTCGTTTCATTCATCAGGGACTCGGGATTCCTCCCCGCCCTGCTGTCGACATACCATCGGACGTCGTCCCCCGTCATTTTCATGGCGCTCAAGACACTGACCGACGAGGGCCACATACAGGTAGGTAGGTATGGACAGAGAGGCTCTCTCAGTGCAGTGGGACGGGTTGTCTCCCGTGTGGTGTGCATACCATAACATACATGCAGGCCTTCCTGTCGATGTACTGTGCGGAGCTCCTTAAGGCCCACCCAAAGGCCAACGCGCGGGATCTTGGCAGTGGCCCACTGCCCTTCCTGCGTGTGGTGCCTTCAATCACAAATGCTATCGTACGTGGAAGGAGAGGAGCCGCTCAGCACAACACGTTTGGCATGCGTTTCGCGATTGAACCACTCAGGAATGTCAACCGTCGCTTGAGTTTCCCACTACGGTGCTGCACCACATCGCCCAAATGATGCTGCTGAAGGATGGTGATGGCCCGCAGCCCCCCTCATCGTGTGGCGAGGGCCTCTCACAGCAGCTCGGTGCTCTACATGCACTCACTCTCCTGCTCCGGTACGTACAGGGGCACACCGAAAGAAAGGGGAGCCACAGCTTTTTTATTTCTATGTATGTGTGCCGCCGCTCTGTGCTCGCGAAGGTCACTGTGTCGTTGCCTGAGCCGCGTTAGTGCTGCCGCGTCCTTGTCGCCCGTCGAGCAATCACACCTGAACGTATGAATGCCGCTCGGCTATGTTGTCAGACACGGCACCAGACGTCAGTGTTCCGTCTTCTTCTTGTCTCAGGCCTGGAATTCGTTATGTCCCCTCGTCCCTTCCCTCATCGCCGCCCTCGTTGATCTGATGCCTGTGCTTCATCCCTTGACCCCACAGACCCCGCAGAGCGGCCCTTTCACCCTGGCTGAGTCAGACGAACAGCCACCGTCACCATCGACGGCCATGGCAGCAGCGAAGAAGGTGGTCCCGGAGATTTCTTTGACTTTGACGTCACCCGTGGCCCTGTTCGTGTCATCCTTGTACGCCCTACACCCATGGCCGACGCTTGAAGCGGTCCGCAGCAGTCCCTTATCTACCGCTGTCAGGGAGGCCGTCACCGGCATGCTGACACAGTGGCGCTTCCACGGCAACCTAATTCTCGGATATGTCGACGTTGCAAAGGACACCAAGAAGGGATCGGCGGAATGGGACGCCACCTCCCCCGACGTCCGCGAGCTGGCCTCATTCTGTGGTGACTTTGTCAAAACACTGGATGACTTCTTCTGCCTCCGACCCGAAGCCGCTCAAGAGTCCACACCCTCCACCCCGGTCAAGCGGGACCCCACCCCTCCCTCGCCCCCATCCAGCCAGCAGCCCACTTCCTGCGCGTCACCTCTGCTTGGCTTGATGGACTGGACCAGCTGGTTCTCGCCAAGGGGCGGTGTGTCTCCCATGAGGACCCGTGCAAGAGCGACCAATCGACGTCAGCTGCGGCACGGTGCCACGCCCTGGCTGCTCGACACAGAGGCCATGGGTCAGAGCCTGAGCATGACACCACCAGCAGCTGTCGAGCGGGATCGACTGGTGGAGAGAAGGGAGTGTCCGGTCCTGTTTCTGGCCGAGAGTTGCTGTGCTGCGGCTCCGGGAGGGTTCGACGAGCACGAGATCCGGATTACCAGTGACGTGCATGAGCCGCGGCCACGTGTGCAGAGCCTGCCGTCGGCCAATCCCCCTCATGTCGAGGTGGCGGTCAAGTCCGCTTCGGCCCCTGACCTCTCAATCGAGCCGTCTGCCACCGCAAGTGCAAGACGGGACGTGGCTGAGCGTCGTGCATCGGCTGCTGCGCTCGCCCTGCACGCCCCCCTACCACCGCCAGTGTCCGATGGACGGTCAGTGAACCGCTTACAATCAGAGTCGGCCATGTCTGCCGTGACAGCTATCTACCGGGACAGTTCGACGCCCCCGCCACGTCCAGCCGACAACGAGAACGCAATGGAGGCTGTTTGTCGCGAGATGTCCCCGGATGGCCATCGCAACAGCGACAAGAGCGAGTGGGTGCTGGAGCTGGAGACTGACAACGTGGAAGCAGCCCGCGTGGACTTCGACTCTCCAGAGTGGAAGGTCACTTCTGTCGTCGGACAGGAGGAGCAGGGACCGAGGCGCCAACCCACACCGAGGCGACCCCTGCCGCTTCTGACGCCGTCCTTCGGGCTGCCGGTCGTGTCGACCGTCCCGCCCCTCACAACAGCCTCAACCGCGCCTCTCACCCTGCACCCCATGCCGCCCTTCTCAATGGGCCTCCAGCCGTCCATGGCTCCCTTCATCCAGCCATCCCCGCCATCACCCTCGTCCCCCCGTCCACCGGCATCATCGCCGTCATCCGACTCCCATCTGCGGCCGCCTAGTGCCGGCACCGGCCGTGAGGTGAGGCGCCGGGGCGTGCGGTCGGGTGTGCGGACGAGCAGCCAGGAGTCGATCAGCAGCCGTGGGAGCATGGTGGAAGGGGAGGACGCTACTGCCGCGGCTGCAGGGGCTGTGGGTGCGGCAGAGGGCATTTCGGATCAGCAGCCAGACCAGCAGCCCTCTGTGACCGACTTCTTCACCATGGCGAGGCGAGCGGCGGCACAGAAGGCCGCCACGCCTCCCACTCAGGCAGCAGGAATGTCACTGACTGGGATTAGGGCCTCAGTGTCCAGCTACGGATCATTCGGGTCATTGCCGCTCCGTGGAGCCGCTGTGGCATTTCAGCCAGTATCGCCGCTGCTGAGGCCATCGTCATCATCCCAGGCTGATTCGTCGGTGGCTACGCGAGGGAGAGTGAACGAGACGCGGACGTACCAGCTGGTGGATGACGAGTCGCGTTTCCAATCGTCGCGGTCGTCAAGGCGGGTGACGTTAGACATGATATCGGAGGGGCCTGGCGAAGGGGGAGAAGGGTCGGCGCAGCAGGCAGGTGGAGAGCGGTGAGTGTTTGCTGACTGACTGACTGAAAGGCTGTCGATTGTGGCTTTATGGATCTGTGTGGATAGCATACCTTGGTGCACGTCGAGTGTTTCATTGGAATGTGTTGCATGCCGATGTAGATACATACAATGGGCCCGCGAGATTGATCGGAATGATCCCCCTAATGGGGGCCAGCAGGGGGCCGTTCTAACAAGCGAGCTTGCATGCATTTCGACGCGCGAAGGCGTAGCGACTCCCGACAGCCCGACGGTAGGAGGGAACTTCATGGCGTCCGCCGGTGCTGTGGGCTTTGCCGACGCCATAGGCACTGTGGGGAAGGTGAGCGGTGGTCAAGGTGTCGCCGCAAGTGAGTTTGCAATGAGTCACGCTTCTACGCGCCCCTCCATGGATGTGCCACGCCTTCCACCTGTGCCCGAGGAGGCCGACGCCGACGAAAACCCAAGCAGCCTGACGGCCATGCCAGTGGAAACCGATGAGGCTGCAAAGAATAGCGGTCCCGGCCAGAGGGGGCTGATGTCAAGGATCAAGGAGCTGGAGGACAAGTGCATGTATAGGACAATGACCAATAAACGACGAAACACATGCACCACCCTACCTGTATGTCTCTCTCGTTGTAGGTCACTTCTGGAGGAGCGTGCCAGCATCCACGCCGACTGCCGCGTCAAGATTGACCAAGGCAAGCAGGCCACTCAGCTGAGAACGCACGCACAGTCATTCGATATATCATCCCCTTCCTTCTTGTCGATCGAACGTCCTTCTGCAGAGGCGGCCAAATGGCAGGGTGCCTTGATGGAGTCGGTGGCCGCAAAGCATCGAGCGGAAGAGCGCCTCAATGTTATGGAGGAGGCACTCGCCTTGGCCCACGAGAAGCTGGAGAGGCGGGCGGGCGAGACCGGACCACCAATGCCAGCAGAGGGACCACAAACTAACGCAGGTGGGAGCCTTAAGGGAGCAGAGCCCGGCTCCTTGGGCACCGTCCCTGGCACACCCGGACCGGTCTGTCTGTCTCACCTCTCTGTCCCTGCAGAGAACGATCGTCTGCGTTGTCTTGTGCGTGAGCTCAAGTGTGCGCTCGAGGAGAAGGACATGTATGTATGTATGTATATATGTATGGCTATAGACGGGGGGGATTGCCTGCCTGATGGCCTGATGTATGTTTGTTGGTTTCTGTTTTCAGCCTCATCTCAAAGCTCAAGGCCGACAAGGACAAGTGAGCAGCAGACAGAGACAGACACATCATGCATGTGATCCCTCCCTCTTCATGGCTCTCTCTGCCCTCGTGCGTGTGTGCAGGCTGCTTCGTGTGCGCGTGCAGATGTCTCACAAGATGTTCAAGACCGAGACCGAGAAGCAGCAGACACTGCGGGACCTTGCCTATGCAAAGCAAGCCCTCAACTTCGCAGCAAAAAAGGTACTTGTGTGTACTCACACACAACACACTGGACGGCACAAACAAACCACTTTCTCCCACTGTCAGGGTCGAGAGTATCAGGAGAAGCTCAAGGACGTCATAGGCCTCGTCAAGGCAACCACCACCCCAGAGCTCACCACTTGTCCCCAGCAGCCGTCCGCCCTTGCCAGCCAGAAGACACCACGCCGCTCAGTGACCGCAGACTCACTGCCCAGCACACTCAAGCTTACGGACCGAAAGACGAGCAAGACGAACATACACCAAGAGCTGATTGCTACACGCCCAGGAGTCGACACGTCCCATCTCGACAGCATACATCTTGAGGGTCATGCCGATGCCGATGCGCCATTCTTCTTCCCCGCGCCCCGGCTCCGTCTCTCAGGCAGTGTCCGGCGGGAGGACATGCCACAGACCATCACCCAAATGAACGGCAAGGCCGCCTCGCCGCGCGATGATGAGGCGGCGGATGACGAGACGGCATTCCAGTCGTCGGCTGCCGCTGATGCTGACGACCAGGGAGAGGGAGACATGGACAACGACAGCCATGAGCAGGACGAGCAAGGGAAGGGGCCAGAAGAGGCGGAGGGCAAGGACGGCCCTGCACTCTCGCCGCTGGAGAGCCGGTGCTCGTCGAGACAAAATCTACCCAATGTGCCGCCGTCGGCCAGCAAACGAAGCAGGAGCGTCTGCCCAATGCCGGTTGCCATCACCAAGGCAGCAACCTCTTTCCTGCAACCGACAGCAGCAGCGTCAGCAGCCGTGCGCCGGTCTGTCTCGTGCGCCCCAGTGTGTATCAGCTCACCCGCGGCCTCACCCCGGACACCGCTCTGCTACTACGTCCCACAAACAGCCAACAAAGTGTGGGCCAAGTCTGTCCACCACCTGCCGAGGGCGGTGCCTGTATGTCGGCTGGCCTCCGCCCCGTGCACTCCCCGGCTGCAGGTGTATCCGCGAATGCCCCTGCCGCCAGCACAAGCGGGACAGAGAAGCCTGTCTGCCCACCCCGCCCTCCGCAGCGTATTCTGCCTGACCTCCCCACGGCCCCCTGTCGGCCACACACACAGGGCGATCCCAAGAGGCCTGGCATTGTGTGTGTCGCCGCGTGCGCGGCTAGTCCAGCCTGTGAGTGGTGTGGGCGTGGGTGTGGGTGGTGGTGGTGGTGTGCGGGCCCACTCGCCCATGGTGCAGGCGCCGGGCAGGGCAGTGAGTGCAAGTGAGGAATCGGACAGGGGCCGGTGGTCACGGCATGTGTGAATGAATCTCTAGGCGATGGATGGTAGTGATGATGCCGACGAGACCGAGAGATATATAGAGGATGTGTGGGGGTGCTGCCTGGGGGTGCACCCACGACTCGACTCAGTCAACTGAGTGTGTCCATCGTCATCGGTTCTGTCGTGGTGTTGCTATCTATATCAAGCAAGTGTCGAGGTGTCTGTCATCCAGCCAGTCTGTCACACCCACACCCATGAAATGAATGAATGGATGGATGAAGGTGCGATCCATAGCTGACTGACACCGTCTGTCTCGTGCACCAAGCTCACCCCCTCACACACCGCGCTCGACAAAATTCAAAGACAAGAGAAACAGACAGACAGACAGACATGCACACATCCATCCATCCCTCCCTCACGCGCGATCACCATCTGAAAGAAGACCCAACTGCACTACAACCTCAGCCACATCCCTCTCTCTTCTCTCCTCCCCTATGGGCGCTCTCTCTCTCGTGCGTCGCTCTGCTGGTTTCTCTCTCTGTCTGTGTGTCTGTCTGTGTGTCCATCCATCCATCTAGTAGTAGGACCCGTCAGCCTTGCCCTGTGCGTCCAGCAGCCCCTTCCAATAGTTCTTCTCGAAATTGGCCTTTGTGTTTGAGTCGACGAGGACCTCGATGGTGCGGCCGCGCTGCCTGACGGGGAATGTGGCAAGGTTCTGTGGCGGCCTGAGCTTGCCGGTGAGGGGGCCGACGAGGGGCGGGAAGGGGCACCACTCGCCCACCACCTCGCCCTTCTCGAGCGAGAAGGCCGTGCGGTGCAGCGGACAGATGACCTTGCCGTCCTTGACCTCGCCCTGCTCCAGGGGCGTGCCGATGTGCGGACACACGTTGGCCACGCAGTAGATGCTGCCGTCCGTGTCGGCTACCAGCAGCAGATTCAGTCCATTCACCTAGGTGACGACAGTCACACCGACGCGACAGAAAAACAAGTTCGGGGGGGGCGAGAGAGAACTCGTGTGTGTGCCGTGCCCGCACTCACCTGGACAGGCACGAGGTCGCCCGCAGCGATCTCGTCATCGTTGAGCACCGCTTTCCACTCCTGAGCCTGTATGGATGGCCAGACGCAGCATTGGTGAATCAATCGTCACACCCATCCACCCACCCGGCCTCCCGCCAATCAAGGTCGGTCGCCTACCGTCGTTGTCTTGCCGCCGAACACAGCTTGGAGGCTTGTACGAGGGGCATGGCGCTGACAGACAAACACACACACACACACACACACACACGGCGTCACTCACTGTCCTGTTTGCCCCCTATGGTGTGCGGTATGGATGTGGTGTGATGCCCACCGCCTGATAGAGTGAAGGTGAGACGCCCAGTTGGCCCGCGTCAGACACGACCAGGGAGGCGCGCTGCGTGAGGCAGGGGGGAGGCGACACGAAACCCAAGCCGCCACGCATACGCGCACCGCTGCACAGACCTGCAACCACACTCACAGATACTTGCACATGGCAGCAGCCTGGCCTGGCTGTGGTGGTGTGCGTCTCGTCTGGCTGCCCATATTCCCCTTTGGTCTGTCTGCCCCGTGCCCCATCCTTGCTTGTCTCTCTGGTGCCCGTCCGTAGATCAGATCATGAACTTCTCATCTACGTACCTGCGGCCAACGCCGCGACCAGCAAGTGGCAGACGCACTTCATTCTCGCAGACCACAGGCGAGTTCTAAAGTGAAAAATCAATCGGCGCACTTCGCTGCTTTCCCCTTCCGCTAAGCTCGCAGATGCCGGGAAACGTGGCGAAAACAGCCGGAAAGAAGGGTAAGAGCGGCGGCACGAGTGGGTGCTTGTTGATTGATGCTCTGTGGACAGAGCGGTTCGATTCATCGTCATCACCACCTCAGCATTGCCACCACCTGACCTGAGCCGTGTCCCGACGCCGTGTCCCCGTCGGCAGTACGTGCGCATCGCCCGCCATGGCTGAGGAGGGCATGATGAGCTTCAGCATGGAGGGCGACTTTGAGGGCGGTGAGTTCGACGAGCAGGGGGAATTCTGGTTCCGCAGCAAGAAGCAGAAGAAGCGGCTGTCCAAGGAGCAGGCCATCTACGGCGTCTTTTACGACGAGGCGGCGAGTTCTGACGAGGAGGACAAGAGCTACAAGCGCCGCAAGATGGCCGAGGTGGGCAGTGCGGTTCGGTTCGTGTCCAAGGGTTCCGTCGGCGGCACCATCCATGAGACCACCAAGCCGCAAACACGACCGTCGCCATCACCGCTCAACCCGGACCAGGACAGCGAGCCAGAAGAGGACACCGACGGGCAGCCGCCAGAGGGAGAGGAGGACCGTGGTGGTGGTGGTGGTGAGCAGCGGGAGGATGAAGACGATGACGAGATCGATCCACGGTTTCAGTTCAAGGACAAGTCCGCTGCGGAGGAGGGTGTGGATTCGGCTGCTGATGCGGCGGGTGGGTCGAAGCAGAAGCACACGTGGGGTCAGCAGAAGATGAGCAAGGAGTACGGCGTGGGGTTCAAGCTGCTGCAGAAGATGGGATACAAGGGAGGCGGACTGGGCAAGGGCGGATCAGGTAGACAAACACGGATGGATGGATGGATGGATGGATGGCTGCACACACAGATGTTTATGTCTGCTCTGTCTGTCTGTCTGTCTGTCCTGCCTGCAGGCCGCGTCAACCCCGTGGAGGTCCGGCTCCGCCAGAAGGGCCGCGCCCTGCAGGACACAGGCGAGAAGATCCACGAGAACGAGCACGACGGCCACAAGCCGCCCACCAAGTCGGCCGTCGAGATCCTCCTGGGCAGCGGCGACAAGGCGGGCGCCTCGTCCGACCGCACCAAGGTGTCCGACGGCTGGAAAGCCAGCCGTGGCAAGAAGGGCGGCCCCAAGAAGGTCTACCGCACTGTGGCCGAGATAGCCGAGGAGACCAGGGGCGCGCCGGGGGTACTGGGTGAGGCGGTTGGAGCGGGCAGGTCGTCCTCGATGAGGATATTGGACATGACGGGGCCCGAGGCCAGGGTGCTGGACGCATCGGCGGGGGTCGGTGGGGTGACGGTCGCCCCCGTCGCCGTCGCCAAGGAAGACGAGAAGCTGCCACTCAAGGCAAGAGTTCACGATCGACGGATGCGAGCGAACAGAGAGGCACAGCACATCCATGTGTGTCGGTGCGTCTTGCCATGCATGCAGGAGCTTCGATACAACCTTCGCGTGACGGTGCTAGCGCTCGAGAGGGAGGTCATGTCGGTGGCCCGCGACAGGAAGCAGCAGCAGGACGCCCTCCTCAACATGTCACACGAGAAGGAACAGCTGGCAAAGGGCGCAGAGATGATCGAGGACGAAGCCATCCACATGGAGGCCATCCTCGACCGGCTCTCGGGCTGCAAGGTCCGCCTCGCCGACGGCACCATGTCGCTCGCCGAGCTGACCAGCGAGTTCCGGCAGATACAGAGGGACTACCCCCACGAGTACGTCGCCCACAGCATCCCAGCCGTCGGCCTTTCCTTCGTATTCCCGGCTTTGCGGGCCGTCTACCAGGACTGGCAGCCGCTCGCCGACCCGACACGCGGCGTGGCTGAGCTGCAGCAGTGGGCGGGGCTGTGTGGGGCCGAGGGGCTGGCGCGTGTGACGGACGAGCTGATAGTGCCGTGCATCCGCTCGTGCGTCACCAATGTGTGGCTGGTGCGTGAGGTGGAGGGTATGGTGAAGCTGGTGGAGAGCTGGCAGCCACTCCTCCCTGTCGGCGTCTTCCAATCGCTGCTCACCGAGGGCATCCTGCCCAGACTAGTGGCCGAGGTGAGGCAGGGGGGGAGGAAAGGCAGGCAGAAACATTGCCGTGTCGGTCGATGGATTTGTGTGTGGATTGGATTGGATCGGTTCTATATGATCGGTCAGGTTGAGGCGTGGAATCCACGGACGGACCCCGTGCCCATCCACACGTGGGTGCATCCGTGGCTGCCCATCATGGGCCCCCTCCTTGAGGGACTGTGGGCACCCATCCGATTCAAAGTTGCCCTATGCCTGCAGCACTGGCACCCTGCTGACAGGTACGGTGGATGCGGGGCGGGGCGCATGTGAGTGTGCACACGTTGCGGGAGGGAGTCGATCGATCTGATCTACTTGATGTGCTGTGCTGTGCGTGAGTGTGTGCAGGTCAGCGGTTCACATGCTGAAGCCGTGGCGCGACGTGATGGATGCGGCCAACTGGGGGCAGCTGATGCTCAGGAGCGTCATGCCCAAACTCAGAGACCAACTCACCACCATGCAGGTCAGTCAGTCAGTCAGCTGAGTCAGCTGAGCTGACGGCCACAGATGAAGGGAGAGATGGATATCATGATCGACGTCTCCCTCTCCTCTCTGTGTGTGTATGTCAGGTTCGGCCCGACAGTCAGTCGCTAGCGCCGCTGCAGAACGTCTTTGCGTGGCTGGATGTGGCCCCGCTTGACGCCATCGTGGCCCTACTCGAGACGCACTTCATCCCGCAATGGCTGCAGGTACAATAGGCGGCCGACACAATGCATTCAATGGAGCGAGAGGTCACGCTTGCTCCCGCCCCCTTGTCTGTCTGTCTGTCTGTCTGTGTCTTTTTTCTCTCTTGTCGCTGCAGGCGCTTCAGGTGTGGATCAGCACGCCCGGCGCGGACCCCGAGGAGATGATGAAGTGGTACCAGGGGTGGAAGACCGTCTTCCCCGAGGCACTCCTCACACAGCCACGCATCCAGCAGGGCTTCATGCAAGCCGTCCACATGATGAAGGCATTCGCCACACAATCCACCACACCACCAGCGGCCCCTCCCCCTCCCCCTCCCCCGCCCCCGTCCGAGCCGCCCCCTCCCACCCCCGAGGACCGCCTGGCTGCAGCGTCGTTCCGCGAGTATTTGGAGCAGGTTGCCAGCGAGAATGACCTGTTGATGCGGCCCAAGGTTGGGCGGATTGTGAATGGGAAGCAGGTGCATGCGTTCGGCCGGGTGAGCCTGTACTTGGACCAGAATGTGACCTTTGTGCTGCAAGGGGGGGAGTGGAAGGCCGTTAGTGTTGAGGCCCTGCTCGACATGGCCAAGAAGGGCAAGATAAGTAGGGCTGGCGGCGGGGCATGGTGTGGTGTCGTGTAGACTCGTGTGCATGACGACGGCTAGTTGTGAGGAGATGCGTGTGAGGCTACTGCCTTGCCATAGGTAGTTGCCGGACCCGCCTCCCTTCCTGTCTTGTGATGCCCACATCATTGGACACACAAAATGAATCGATCAATCGCATACATATGTCGTGTGATTCGGTGCGCACACACGCACACACACATGAAGCTGTACTGACTGTACACGGGCAACGCCACACGCACGCCATTGTCGTCATGCCATCCATCGATGGCTGTTTACTTGACCAATTGGCCGACCAGCATGCCGCCCGACCCCACCAGTATCCCCGCCACAGACACAACCCACAACCACCAATCCCCCGCAGCACCATCAAACGTCCTGCCCTGCCTCTTCCCCTCCACCTCCCCCTCCCCCTCCCCTCCCCCCCTCTCTCTCTGCGTCGATCTGTCTTGCCACCCAAGCTGCTGCTGCTGCTGGTGGTAGTAGCACTTTCCCGGCAGCCGGCCAGTGGACTGCTGGTCGTATGCATAGTAGGCCGCGTAGAAGGAGCAGCTCTCTGTGGCCCACTCGGCGATGGGAAGCTTCGCAGCTGTGTGGTGTTGTATGGGGAATGGTGTTGATTCGAATGTGAAAGTGCCGGTGGATGCGAGGAAGTCGGTGACTCGTGTGGCGTTGAGGGGCTGCGGGAAGAGGTCAGTGCGGACCTCGGGAGTGGACTGCAGGTCAGCTGCACGAACGACACACAGACAGAGCACAAAGAGGGTGTGCGAGGGTGTGGGAAGGTGGTGGTCATGGCTGGCTACGGTGGGTGCATGCGGACGTAGGTACCAGGGTCGAGAGCGTCGAAGAAGTGCTGCATGGTGTTGGTGGACCACGGCTGCAAGCCCTCCAGGTAGCGAAGGCTGTAATACGTAAACCTGCGCACACACACGCACACACGTATGCAGCTGAGCTGCGTTGCAACCATCTTCCCTCCCTCCCTCCCTCCCTCTCATGTGTGTCTTGTCTTGTCTTGCCCCCTCACCGCACCGCAGCGACGCAACCCACATGCTGACCTGTCAATGACGGCGATGCCCACATCCCTGTCGATGTGGTGCGAGTAGGAGTTCTCCCCCAGCTTCGAGCAGCCGGCCGCCAGGATGCCGGGCGAGTAGAAGCGGGTCTGCAGTGTGGCCGCCTGGCACGTGTCGGTGACGAACAGCACTTTGCCATACCGCTGCTGCCGGTACATCTGCTCGAACGCATCAGCGAAGTCCTGGCTGGTGATCTCTTCCCAGTCCTGAAACTTGAGGAACTCTTCGCCCCCGTGGCCCGTCATAAAGATGAAGACGTTGCTGTCGGCATCGGTGAGCAGCCGCCGACTCTGCGCCACGAAGGGCGCCTGCCGGCCGGTGAGGAGGCGGATGAAGCTCGTCACCGTCACCTCGTCGCCGCGAAAGTCGACCTCCACGCCGTGAGAGTTCTCGCCGCCGTATAAGTTGAGCCTGTGGTCGGCGTCATTGAAGATGCTGCCGGGCGAGGGGGACCGGGGGTTGCAGGCTATGTCCTCGGCAAGCATCAATATGATCTGATCATATCACAGACAGACAGACACGAGGGAGGGAGGGACACAGGAGGGAGAGAATATTATATGGGATCGCATATGCTCATGCATACATATGTACTGCGTGAGTGTGTGTCGCTGACTGACTGACTGGCGTGCATGCCTGGTGGTCTGGAATGCCGAGCCTCTTGACGGTGTGATAGAAGGAGAGCGTGTTGGCCACATGCCGGTAGTTGTACCAGTACCGGGACGTGTCCACTATCACGGCCCAGTTGTTCCTCTGCTGGCCTGTTGACAAAGACGATAAAGCAGCGACGGCCGCCCGGGGTGCGCCGATAAAGCATGCAACGGCAAGGATCCACCAGACAAAGACAGACAGGGTCATGACGGGGTGGTTGGTGGAGAGGACGAAAGGCTCTCAAGATCCATGATCACCACATGAATGGCAACCAGCGTTGGACAGGCGAGATGCAATTGCAAGTCGAAACACGCAGTTTCAGCCTTCCGGGGGACTCGCGGGGCTGATTAGGGTCACGGGTCACGGGGTTAAGGAGTTAGGGTCACGGGTTTGGTTGAATAACACAGACGAGCGCGGGGGTGTGAATATTGACATTGTGAGAGAGGGGCGTCTGGGGGCCTGGGATCCCCGCCAAGCCGGCCAGTCGCACCCTCCGCCCTCTTCCGAATACTCACATCAAACGGCCACATGTACACACAAGTCGGTCACTCTACCTACAGCGGGTCAGTCAACACATGGGCTCGCCCTCGTCCCCCCCGTCCTCCTCACCCATCTCTGCCTTATCCTCGGCACCCAGACGATCCCCACTGCCGCAGGCCAGGTGCAGACCCCGGGTGCGCTGGACAGCTAGCATGCCGCGTCCCGAGTTGAAGCCCTTCCCCCCCCCCTGTCCTCTGCCGAACCAACCGATCCACTGGCCGGCTGGGCTTCACGTAGGGGGCGGCGGCAAGCAGCTCCGCAGTCAGCTTCAGCCGAGGTCTGTTGTGCGAGAGCTCGTCTGCCTGCTCGTTGCGCACGTCGACGCCCTGCTTCACCAGCGAGTCCACTGCAGCGGGGGTCGCGGGCGCGTAGAGATTGAGGCTGCGCTGTTCGGCTGGGCGGGAGTAGCAGGTTCTGATAATCAGCTCATCGGTGTCCACGGCGGCGATGCTCAGGTTCCGACAAACCTCGCCCTCCCTCCGTCCCTCTTGTGTCCCCTCCACCACACAGGTGTGGGCAACCACTTCGTCGAGCCGCTGCTGTGCGTGGGTGTGCATCGCCACCAGGCCGAGTTGACCAGCAGCTGCAGGGTCGTGGGGAGGTGGGGAGCGGCGTGGTGGGGGTGGCGGCCGGTGTTCGTCAGGGAGCCAGTGGTCGTCAGGGTTGGCCATCTCCTGAGGGGATGAGGCGGGTGGGTCCAGCTCGTTGCAGATGTCATCGACCTCAGCGTCGATGACGCCGTAGCACCGGAGGACGGCAGGGAGGTGACGCAGGCCACTGCCACCAGCAAACGCCTCGCCGCAGTCACTACCTACACACACACACACACGAACACACACACACACACAGAGAGAGAGAGAGAGAGTCGACACGCAGACGCGCACACCGACAGACGTACCGATATAGCCCAAGTCGTGGACCGAACGGCCGGGTACCCTGACGTCGCCAAGCACGTAGTGGTACGCACACCCGTCACCCAACACTGACACATACCGATCCATCCACTGTGTCTGTCGTTTGTGCCCTCAGGTTGTGCATCATCTCGACAAGGACGGCCAGGCCGACATCGTCTTCCCGAGTGTAGTGTGGAGGGAAATATGGGACCGGTGGGGGCTCCTGCCATGTAAGCATGCTAGACGGGGTGCTCGTTCAACGTGGCGACCACATCTGCAGACAACGGAGGGCGAGAATGCGCTTATCTTCCCACACCTCAAGCCGTTTGCATTGAAACTTACCGGCTGTCCAGCGGGTTTCGGCGAGCTGGGACAGAAAGGCGATGCATGCGCCCAACCGGCTTTCGGGGGAAGTGTCTGCATCGCTGAAACGCTCTGCTGCAGTCGCAGATGACGACCGACCAGCCGGATCTTCGCAAGGCTCTTCGGTCTCCAGGGTTGGCGAGAAAGAGGGAGAGGGGACGAACGACCGTGGCGCTTCCCCCATGTTGGTGCCCTTCCTCTCACTCAGCGCCTCCCGCCACAACACGACCAAAGCTACCAGACAAAGCGCAGGGTTCGGTTTGCAGGGTTGCGCGGTAAGGGTTACAGGGTTAGGGTAGGGTTGCGAGCTCGAGAGGGAAGGGAGAAGGGAGGGATTCGAGGCGCTTTACGAAAGTCTGACGACCACGATAACATGCTCTGACGGCTGATATACTGTAAAACCGACCAAAACCCAATGAGCGACTATCAGCCTGTGTTTCCTGTCAGTGCGGCGCATCATGATTCTCTGCAGTATCACTTCTACTTCCCCAGCACCTTCATCGCCCTGCGGCTCTTCTACACACAGTCACTGCGGCACTACTCCATGTGGTGCGCAGATCTGGCCACCGGCAGCCTCCAGGAACTTATCAACGAGCAGGACGGCGCGCAGACGAAGGCCGTCCCGTTGCGGGTGACTGGCCGGGAGGGCCTTTCACTCAAAGCCGCCGATGAGGAAGGCAGATCCCATCAGCAGCTGACCATCGACGACAACAAGGAGCTGCATGAGATCTCTGCGACACTCACTGACGGCCGGAGCATCAAGATCAGCTTCGGCAGCGGGCCTATCCATAGCTGGATGACCGGGGACCCTGAGGAGGTCGTCATTCATCGCCCGGTGATGCCCTGCCAGCTCACCACAAACGACGGCAAGACCGAGAGCGGCTTCGGCTACTCGAAGCGCTACTCCTGGGCCTCTCCCCCAAACCACTGGTGCTATCGCTTCGTGCACGCCCTGGTGCCGGCAGACCAACAGGCATGGCGAGAGGTCTACTGGACAGCAGACGCGCAATTCGGCGATGGCAAATACGACTACTTCAAGCGCCTGACCAACGCGGAGGGGGCGCAGCTCGAGGCGGCGGCGGACTCATATCATCAGCACTCGCGAGTGGTGGGCCTGCAGATGTCGGGCACGGAGAGGGTGGAGGTGAAGCTGACGCGCGAGGTCTGCAAGTGGCAGGCGGACATGAGGAGCGGCTCGATGAACAGCAGGATGGTGCAGCGTCTGTGTGAGTGTGAGGTCTGGGTGGACGGCCACCTCGCCCACAAGGGACTGGCGCTCAATGAGTACTGCCTGGGCACGCTGGGCTGATGCATAGATAGTGTCAGTCAATGGGCTTGTGGTGCAGTGCACCGTGTGATGTGATGTGTTGTATCGTCGGTCGGTGGTGCGATCACTTTTCATGGTCCTCAGGGAGACTGACTTTCAAAGAGGACGGCAGGCAAATCAGACATGTGTTGGATGGATCAAGCACGAGCCGTCGTCATGTCAGTCATCAATGTCTGTCATCATGTTATAAAGGCAGGCAGGCAGTGCCCATGCAATGCAATCAATACTCATTCATTCGGAAGACGACAAGCTTGGCGAACACACCATGCAGACACCGACCACATGGACACCACACCACACACCGACCACACCACACCACATCGACACTACGTCTCATCGATTCATTCCGTCACAGCTGTCTGTCACATGAATGTGGTGGCCACCATTAGCCACACAAGCATAGCAGTAAGTAAGGCAGGCAGGCGTGTATCAATCGATCGTACGTATCAACACGGAAGAAAGTCATGTACACACGCAGTCAGCTCATACCATCCTACCACACCACACATTAATGGCCGTAGATAGATAGATGCGCACACACACACACGCGCACACACACACGCACTCGCTCCACGACGAGACTCCGTCTGACTGATTGCTTGGCTTGGCTTGCCTGCCGCCCATCTGGCGAATTGCTCTTTTCACACATCCAATCCAATCACCCCACCCCATGCAGCACTTCTTAACGCCATTATTGCGGCATGCACAGCTGGATGGATGGATGGACATCACGGCTGGCCTCCTTGAGCTATCTTTCTATCCATCAGGCTGAAAAAACGTCGGTCTGTGCAGAATTCGAACGTGCGACGACATCACGCGAGGGCTCCTTCTCTGTCACCGGCAAAGAACTCATCGACACGTCAGAGGGCAGCGGCGCCCGGGCAAACGTCTCGCCAGTGCGACTCTTCCTCTGAAGAACACACACAGACAACACAACCAGCATGGAGGGATGCGGTCGCCGCCATGCTGTGCTGTGTCCGCCGTACCCAGGAGCAGATGAGCCATCGAATGACCCAGAAGGCGACGAAGGAGCCGACGGTGAGGAAGACGAGAGCTGTTCTGATCGTGCAACCATCTATTGTCTCGCCCGTCGCTCCGTCAGCGTCGCCATCAGACTGTGTGTCCGATTCGTCATCCTGGGCACCAAGCGCCCTGAGCAGACCTCTCTGGGCAGTCCTAGACAAGCTGTCGTCACCGGGCTGCAACCAAAGCACGAGATCAGTGCACTGTACCTCCGCATCTGTGTGTGAGTGTGTGAGTGTGTGACCGTGTGCCTACCAGCACTGGGAAGAGGTGACAGAGCAAGAGGAAGGTGATCATCAGGACGGCCATGCCCGCCAAGAAGAAATCAGCAACGTCGGACATCTGCCGGTGCCAAGACGAAGACGCAGACGCCACCATTCTGACTGTGAAGTGCACAAACAAGGGCGAGGCTGCCTCTGGAGAAGAGAGGGGAGAGAGGGGAGAGAGGGAGGTCTTGTCTCCCCTTGCGATCCGCAGCCAGAGAGCACTGTTTGTGCTCCAGCTCTGCAGCTGGTATCAGGTCGACGAGAGACGATGGCAGACGCCTCAAGAGAGGCCAGATCTTTTGCATTGGCCCTAACTCCTAACCCTAAACCCTGTTGGGTGCGCACAGCTGAGGTGGGGCTGGGTTTGTTGTGCAGCAGGCCTTTGCTTCGAATCCATCCACTATGATGCTCTTGGCAGCTCCCCTGGTTGTGTGCTTCATGGCTGCAGATCTTGCGGGTGAGGAAGTTCTGAGAAAGGAGAGTGGGTCAGTCACGTGCCGGAAGATCTTCCTTCCTCTCGTCTGTTTGATCGATTGTCCATCCATCAGGCGGCTTCCTTGCATCTCCGCAGAGGCACCCGCCCTTTCGCCGAACGGTGAGCGAGGGCTGCACCCACTCACTGTCAGTCAGCAAGATCCATCAACATCTGCGCTGTTTCTGTGCGCTGGCCTGGCAGGGGTTCTCGCGCATGAGGGCCTCCCTGGAGGCCCGTCAGCAGAGGGAGGGGGAGATGGTGCAGAAGCTGACTCAGTCGCTGGGCGGTGACGTGGACCAGGAAACCGTCCGTGCGGCGCTGCAGGAGTCGGCCTACTACCTACCGCGGGCCTACCAGGTGCTGCAGAAGAAGATATTCAAGGAGCAGCTGCTGAGCGAGATGAAGGCCGGCTTCGGCACATGGAATGCCACGGACCTGCCGAGCCGGCGGCCGGAGCGGCTGGGCTACAAGGTCGACAACACCTTCATTCGCGAGGTGGAGAAGCCACGGACACAGCCACTCAAGGACTCGCACTTCAAAGGTACAGAGGTCACCTGACCTGACTGACCAGCCAAGGGAAGGAAGGAGGGCTGCCACACGTGTGGGCAGATCAGATGGTCGTGTGCTTTTGCGCCTGTGTGTGCGCCTGTCGTAGGCGGTTCCAACCCGCTGACGGAGGGTGAGTGGTGGCTGGCTTTGCGGCCCAGCACTGAGGAGTTCGAGGCGGCGATAGCCGGGTTCGACACACAAAAGGCGGAAGACTGGTTGGCGCGCTACTCGGACGTCTACAACGACAAGGGCAGGCAGCAGTCCAAGAAGGTACTGGGAGCGTGACGTGACCACTCACTCATTGAGGGAGGGAGGGACTGGCCAGCCGAGTGTACTGAGTCACTGGGGAGCTCGCATGGCTCCCACTGGCTGGGCTGCCTGTCATGATCGTGGCTGCTTCGTCTGTGTGAAGATTTTTCACTCCATTTGTGTGGGGGTCGTGGAGAGAAGGGACCGGACCATGGAAATGACTTTTTCCAGTCGTCAAGTGAATCGTCACTTTGAAGGGACACCCAAAGCAGACAGACAACCGAATCCATCGGGTCTGTCTGGCTCATATCCCTCAGGCCGCGGCGAAGGTAGATACTCATCCATCCGTTCAGTCCACTAATTAGCGTGTGTCTTATTTATCGTGTCCTCTCTCCACAAATACTCACATCGATCGTCAGTCACGAAACCCTTCGGTGGTCCATACACACACACACACACACACGGGCATCACACGAATGAGCTGGCATGCAGCTCACTCGCAAGCAAAATTCAGCCACGCAGTGTGTGTGAGTATAGAGGACGCACCGACTCCCTTCCTCCCTCCCTCCCCCCCGCCTCACCTCAGAGGGCTCTGCTCGCCCTCCGGTCGACCTGGTTCACTCATACCTGCTGCTCCTGCCTGCCCTTCGCTCGCTACCCACTACACAATGCCTGGACGCACACACGATCTGTCTGCGCTATGTGGTGGGAGTGGCGTTGGTGCCGCCGCCGCCACCACCCTGGCCCTTCCCGCCGCCCCGATTGCCGCCGTTGCCGCCACGACCCCCGCCGCGACCAGAACCACGGCCTGCACACAGACAGAGACACCACACACCCACGAGACAACAGAGAGTCTTACTATGCGGGAAGAGAGAGGTGCCTCACTCAACTCATTCATTCAGTGCTGTGTGTGCAGTGTACGGGGCTGTTAACATAACAGGTGACCTTACCTTGTGGTGGGTGTAGGAGCTGTGCGCCCTCCTGCGATGCGGCCATGCTGATGAGCTGCATGCCGTTCATGCCGCCAGAGGGAAGGGCGCCGGCCGGGGGGCTGGCCGTGTTGGAGGTGGGGTGGATCGACTCGGGGTTCTCCTGGTGGCCAGGATGGTGGTGCGGGTGGGGCGGTGGGGGCCGGTCCCTCTCACGACCTTGCCCTGGTGGCCCTTGCTGCTGCCCTGGTGGCCCTTGCTGCTGCTGCTGTTGTTGGGGAATGTTGTCCCTGTCTTGCTGCTGCTTCCAGCCGCCCCGCCCCCCACCGGCTCCCCTGCCCCCCCGACCACCGCGACCACCTCTATCGGCACCTCGATCGCCGCCTCTATCATCCCGCGGGTTGGCCTGATCGAGCAAGACAACCATGAGCGGTGGACGAGGGAGGGAGGGTTCGTTCCCTTTGTGGTTTGTCGGGTGTGCGCCTACCTCGTTGTTGGGAGGCCTCTTGCCCCGCCCTCGCGGCCAGCCGCCGACCTGACGCTCCAACTGCAGCCATGCAGACAGACAGACAGAAATGAAGGGGCGGAGGGGATGGGTGAGTGTGTGTGTGTTGTGTGTGTTGGTTGTGCGTCGTCTGTTTGTTTGTTCTGTTTTAGCGGACGGACCTCTTCAAAAGACCTGCGGATGTCATCCCGCTCCCTGTCGTGCTTGTCGTACTCCTACACACATCATACACACATGGGACACAGACATGCACCTTGGCACTCCTCCCTCCCTCCCTCGCTCTCTCTCCCCTCTCTGACCGACCGGTATGTATTCGAAGATGGAGTCGAGAATCAGCACGGCGTCGTCAACGTTCATCCTGAGACCGACCAACATCAAACTCTTCGCATGGTCGTCGACCCTACACACACACACACACACAGACGGACGGACAGACCGGTCAGATCCATCCATCAAGGAATGCACCACTGCACTGCTTAGGTCGCTGTCTCTTTCCCACCCACCGACCAGACGTTGCTGAGGTGGGCCTGTTTGGCGACGTCGACGACGTTGCGCGAGTCCCGCTCATAGAGCCAGGCCTCGCTGCCGGGGCCGGCAGGGATCTTGTACTCGTGGTAGACGTACTCCAACTCCTGACGGGCATCTGAATGAATGCACTCAGCCATCCATCAATCCATGGCACACAAGCAGAGCAGTGAATGGCATATATGGCACCTGACGAATGTGATGTGTGGGTGTGGGTGTGTGTGTGTGTGCGCACCGGCAACCTGCTTCTTGGTGTTGCCGAAGATGCGCACGAGGCAGTGGCCGGGCTGGATGGTCACACTCTCGTCGATGCCCGGGTCGCCGGGGTACAACATCTTCACCTCAACCTGACACACACCACACCACACGCCCCCCCTACTTACTGTGCCCGAGCCCGTGTGCTGTGCTGTGCTGTGCTGTGCACTGCCTCCCTCACTGACGTCGTAAGTGGTGCAGACGCGTCGTAGGTTCTGCCCCTCCCTGCCGTAGAGGAAGTATGAGACGAGGCTCTCGTCGACCTGGAAGTCGTCCCTGACGGCGTTGCCGTAGTGCTCCCGTCGCCTGCGGACGTTGGCCATCTTGTTGCCGCGGATCTCGTGGAACAGCTGGATCTCGCGCTGGTGCTTGAAGTGCACACCGAACAGAGCTATCGCGCGGTGGATGGCCGTCTCCTCACCTGCAGGACAGGCATTCCAAACACCCCGACGCACGTGCAGGGGTGGGCAGGCTCGTGTGTTGTGTGTCGGGGTGTGTGTGGCTGACTGACCGGTGAGGATGAGGTGCGATGCGTCGTCGGCCACCTGAACGCGCAGGAGGTTGGTCTGCGATAGCACCTGCTGCAGACAGCCGCTGGAGTCCTCCACGTCCGTGTCCAACCAGGGACGAACCTGAACACACACACACACACACACACACACGTGTCCTCTCCCTCCACTGTTTGTGTCTGTGTAGCCGCGCCACTCCCCCGCCCACCCAGACAGACAGACAGACAGGCAGACAGACAGACTGACCTTGGGGTCTATGTCCAGCTGCCTCTGTTTGATGGTGCTCTGCTCGAGTGTGGGGGCGTTGTTGAGGGGCCGCAGGACGTCCTTCTCGAAGATCATGCTCTGGATGGTGCCCTCGAACTCGACAAAGTAGAAGTTGCCCTTGACCTGCGTCACCGTCCCCAGCCGCCAGTGCGACGAGCTGTTGTCGGTGTAGGAGATGAAGACCTCCACCTTGTCGCCCTTGTGCGGCTCCCAGTCGGCAGGGATGTCCGTCAGGCACGACGGCAGCCGCACGCTCCGCGCCGGGACGACTGCTGGCTGCATGGCGCCGTCTGGGAAGAGCACCAGGAAGCTGTTGCCGTCGGGCTGGAGGTCCTGAATCTGCGCCACGTACCACCTGTCGCACCGACCGCCCTCATCGATGTTGCACTCCACTGTCGACCCTGGCACCTCGGTCCTCATGCTGTTGCGCTGTTGTGCGATGCGTCCGTGAAGGGGGATGGCTGCGTGTGCACTGGTATGCGCGCTGATGCCTGATAGGCGCTCCGTCCTCCGAGAAAAGGACTGCAACCACTTCTTCAGGGAGAAGAGAACGCAGCTATCCTGGGGAGTGCCGCTCTGCTCCGTAAAAGTGTTCTAGCCTTTGACCGTGAGACCAACGTGAGACGAAGCCTGCTCCCCCTTTTCACTGCTGAAGAACTCCAGAAAAGCTGCCTGTTCTTTCCAACCCGATGGCGGCATCTGTGAACGACGGAGTAGTAGGTGCAGGAAGCGACAGTCAGCCACGCAAGCGTGTGGAAAGGAAGCGTGTGCCGGGCACTTTGCGGCGTTTTATTCTTCGATCTGTGTTTGCGTGCAGCCTTTGGTGCGGGTGGAGGGCTCGACGACGACGCACCACAGCCCCACCGGATGGGCTGCCAGGAGGAGCTTCAAGAGGAAGCAGCCCCTGATGCAGCCACAGGTGCGTTGAGTGAGTGCAGACTTCACAGCATGGAGGTTGTGATAGGATTGGTGCTCTCAATGGCTCACTGCAGGCCTCGAGGTGGTGTTCCTGGTGCGCAGAGTGGAACCCAAGGTGGCCCAGGTCCGCAGGATCTCTGGCGACGGCCAACCTTTGACCATCCGTGGCGTTCCTGACCCCTTCGACCACCGCTTCCGCACAGAAGGGCGCACCATCTGCTGGGCGGTGGCGGTGGCTGTCGTGGCCCTTTTGTGGCCTTCCTGGCTGTGCCCCTCCCAGCTCTCGTCCCTCCCTGCCTGCGTTGGGTGGTTGGTCAGGGGGGTCCTGGTTCTTGTCGGCGCCTTCAATCTCGCATATGCGGGCAATGCAGCGAAGAAACTTCTGGCGGCAACGAGTTGGTACCTGGCCACAGGCCACAAAGAGGACATTGTGGTGCCCAGGACTGTTTTCCACGTCGCCATAGTCGCCGTGTATGCCGTCGACAAGTGGCTATATGCGTGGGAGGCTATCCTTCGTTCCTGGCGCCCATTGGTGTCGCGGGCTGGGCGGTGGCTGGCTGCTGGGTTGTTGGTCGTGCTGCTGGTTGTCGCCGTCGCTGCCGTCATAGTACTGGGACGACAAGCTATGCCCACATCTACGCCCGTATCCCTGTCGGCCAATGAGTCCAGTACCATCCCCTCGCCGGCACCGCCACCCCTCCACGTGCCCCTCAGTGCCACCACTACCAAGGCCCACCACAGTGACGAAGCAGCGACCGAACCACCCGAACAAGAATCAACACCCGGGGACGTCCCGGCTGCATCGCAGCCCCCCGCCACTCCCCAGTCCAAGCCGCAGGCTGACAAAGCTAGCGCCTTGTCCTATTCATGGAAATGGTGCAAGGTGTTATTTTGGAGCACTCTCGTCGTGGTGGCTCTGGTTTGTGGCTTGGAGAAGTACGGCTGGCGTCCGCCCGTCGTGATGAGATCTATTCTGCCATTGTTTGTTTCGTCTGGGTGGGCGTTACGGCCGTTGTTTCCGTCTTGGTGTTTGGGACGCCGACGCAGGAGAGTGTACTCCCCCACAGACCACACAGTCCCCCCACCCAAGCAGCAACTGAGTGGGTCGCCTGGTTCACGGCAACTGGTGCTGTCGTCGGGTTGGGCCTGGTCGTCCTCGGGACTCTCATACTGGCGCTGCGTTCTGGGCTGCGTGCGTGCGGCTGGCTCCCTGCATTTGACGCATATGTGAAAAGGACGCTCGACGAGACCAGGGGGGCGATCCTTCGCAAGCTTGATGATATCCACCGCGTGATGGTTCGCACGCGTGAGGCCATCGCTGACCGAAACGCCCAGGAACTCATTCAGGAGGAGGAGGCCGCAAGAGAGCAACAAACACAGCGGGGCCAGCAGAGGGGGAGGACCAATAACAACAGGGGCGGCCGAGCCAACAACCAAGCGGCCGGACAGAGGAATGCTCGTCAGCAGCAGCAGCAGCAGGAGGAGGGGGGGCAGGCCCAGCGACATGTGGCGGAGGAAGAGGGGGACCGCAGAGTGCAGCCTGAAGACGAAGGCGGTGGAGCCCATGTGGATCACAGCGAGGCGACCTACAGTGGCGGCTGGCAGCGAGCCGTGTGCCAACGACGCCGCCCCAGAGGCAGCCAGTCGGTCATTCAGGACCAGCAGCCAAGAGCACAACCACCGCAGGCACAGCATCCAGGCCCGCAGGCACCATCAGGAGCAGCAGCAGCAGCAGCAGCAGCAGCGCAGCAGGCAGCACGTCCGGCAGCCAGTCGCTCGTCCGTCCCTCGCCCCTCTGCACCTCAGGGCTCTCCTGGTGCCCAGCAGGCGTTGGATGGGGCAGGAGGGAACGGTGCCGTGAGAAGCGGCCTGCCCCCGATGGTCGCTCCCGTAGGCGTGCCCAGGTATGTACGGGTGTCTGACGGACACGTGCAGTGCAGTCCTTGCTATGCTGGCGTGAACTAACTTGTTTGGTGCGTGTCGTGTCGTATGACTCTGTCTACAGGGTGAGTGAATGGCTAGGCGGTCTGTTCGGGTACGTAAGGCCAGCAGCACACTCACTCACGTACATAATGGATGCATCCAGGTGTGCTGTGCCTCTCTGTGTGTGTGTGTATGTGTGAGCTGTCTTTCCTTCATTCCTCGCTTCAGGCCGTCCACCGACACGATCTGCACCGTCTGCCTGGACAACCCAAGGGTCATCAAGTTCATGCCGTGCAGGCATTTCCTGACGTGTGCCAAGTGCTATGACCAGCTGCAGAAGCACCATGAGGAGGAGAAGGCGCAGGGGCGGCAGCAGAGCGAGAGGCCCGTTTGTCCCGTCTGCCGCAGGTCAGTGACTCAGTCAGTCAGCCAACCCTTGACGCGCAACGAGACGCGCGCACTCGTGTGTGGCCTTCCTTCTGCATTGTGTGCAGTGAGATCCACTTTGCTGGGACGGAGATGGAGGTCAAGAAATGGGCTGAGATGAAGTTCACCTAGGCAACCAGACCAGGGGTGATCGGAATGTCTGTCTGTGGTGTCCGACGCTTTTTTCCGTGTATGTGATGTGTCGATCGACTGGACTGACTGTGTATGGTATGATGGATATAGACAGAGAGCTTCAGTCCATAAGTTTCCTGCCTGTCCTCCTCCTGGCCTGACGTGGCTGCACTAAGAGCTTTTTTCCATTACAGCTCCTCCCTCTTTTCGCGGGTCATGTGCATGTGCATGTGTGTGGGTCGATGGGATGGAGAGATGCGTCAGTCAGTCAAAGTATGTATTCACGGATATGTATGCATCATGTCACTCATGTGCGGAAGTGTTTTGCGTCTGTCTCTGTCTGTCGGCTGCTGTCCTCCCTGCGATGGACCTGGACGAACAGAGAGAGCCTGACCCTTCATTCGTTCAGCCATGGCCAGGCGATGTGATGCTTGTGCAGGTGGAGGGAGACACGGCACGCAGGACAGCTGGCCGAGTGTATTTGATATGTGTAGCTAGGTAGGTAGGGTGTGTATGTGTGTGTGTTCACCCAAATTAGTTTGGCCTGTCTGCACGCACGTTTTTCTTGGCGTGCAGAAGTGTTTCTTGGTCGCCGTGTCGCGATTGAATGGATATATCTCTGGTCAATGGTCCTTCGTGCAAAGGGGTGAAAGAAGAGCGTGCTGTTCTCGGTTGTATAGGGTTCTGCTGTGCCAGCAATGGACACAGAGAGGATTGGAATGGACGTTCATGTGAACCAACGCACGAGTACCCACCGCCAGAGGGACAAAGATTCGACATTTGCAGCCGGCGAAATCAATGTGTAGCACATCTGAATGAGTGTCAGTCACCCACAGAAAAACGCATCTCTCGCTACACGATCCACACATAGAGACATCACACACATGACATGCAGTGAGTGCATTGCAGTCCTTCATGCAAGCAACCAAGGCAGCGATCGCATCTCTCTCCCATCCGTCAGCCCACCCACCGCACCCCGTCGCTCACGCACCCACGAAGGCCCAACGGCAAAAAAATACGCGCAAAACTGAGCACTCTCTCTCGCCGAACGCACACGCGGTCAAGCTGCTGTCTACGCTGCAGCAGGCACGGCCTCCACCTTTTTCTGAACACACAGACACACACACACACACCAAGGGTGAAACGTCGCTTCCTCTCTAGTGCGTTCGTCCGGTACGTCCGTCCTCACCAGAAGTTCCTCGACGGTCTCGCCCTGGATCTTCTCGTACACCTCCCTGATCTTAAGGGCGCAGAGGGTCTGGAGGAATCCGGTGCCGTTGAGGCTACCGGGGGCGTCCTTGACCTTCTCCATCGCACTCACCACCTCGGCGCTGCTCTTCTCGCCCGCGTTGACCAGGAACTTCTCAATCGCTGCCAGAGAGGACACGTCGTCGTACTCGCCGTCCATCTCCAACACACGGGCAGGCTGCAGTGGATGGATTGCGATCAGTCAACACACACAGGGGCTGAGTGTGTGGCTGACTGAGTGTGTGGCTGGGCGGGTAGCTCACGTGTCCGAACCAATCTTCAGAGTACTGCTTGATCTTCAGACCTGCACACGCACACACCACAGACCACAACACAAAACAGCACACAGGTCCATCCATCCATCCATCCCCTCTCCCTCTCTATGAGCCTGACCAATGGTGGATTGCGGCACAGATGTCTTGGAGGGTGCGAATCCGTCGACGTCAGCGCCGCTCTCGAACAGCTCGACGGGCGTGAAGTTCTCGACGCCCAGCCGCTGGATAAGCCGCACCTTGAGGTACTTGCCCTTGGGGTCATCCACCAGGGAGCTCGGCAGCACCTGGATCACTATATCGGCCTCCTTCTTCTGGGGCTCAACGTAGGCGGCGAAATCGGGCTTCCGCGACTCGATCGACTGCCACGGGAGAGGGAGAGGGGGGGGGGTGTATGGGGTGGGGTGGTTGTGTGTGCCTCTCCACCGACTGACCTTTTGGATGGATTCGAGTGAGTGTCCTCTCTCCTCCATGTCACGCTGGATTTTCCAGGCGAACTTGACGTCGTCAGTGATGTCCAGATACACGCTGAAGTCTACCAGATCCCTACACACACACGCGCATTGATTGCATTCACACGAACAGACGCAATCCATAATGCAGAGCCATCCCATCCATGTGGTAATTCAATTGTCCTGTTTGCAATTGTGCTGTGTTGCTTTGCAAACCGTCGCTTACTTGACTCGCGAGTCGTAGATGGGGTGGAGGCCCTCCACAATAAAGATGGGCGACGGCTCAATCGTCTCAGCGGGATCCAGCTCACCTGCACAGGCAGACAGAGATCCGTCTGTGCGCATCTGTCCGTGTGTGGCTATCTAGGTATCCATTCACACCCACCCGTGATGTGGTTGTAGATGGGTTTCTCGACGGTGGTTCCCTCCTTGATGGCCTTGACCTGCTCGTACATGAGGTCGAAGTTGTTGGCCTTGGGGTCCAGCGCTGACAGGCCCGTCTCGGCCCTCCCCTTCCTGTCCAGCGAGTGGTAGTCGTCCAGACAGATAATGGTCGCAATGTCAGACACAAGCGTGTTGGTCTCGCGACCGATGGGCAGCAGACCGACGTTCTTGCCGCCAAAGATCTGCAGAGCCACACACGAGAGCGGATAATCCATGGTCAAAGATCTATCACTCTCGCCACACCTGAGTGACCCTCCTCATGAAGGTTGACTTGCCGCACCCCGAGTCAGCCGCCACACCGATCACCACCGGCTTCTCGCCAGGCGGCAGGGACATCCTCGGCCCATCATAGACGCCATACCCCGAACGCGGCGATGACTCACCCACAAGCGTCACGGGGTTGACGAACGAGTTATCGAGCCTCTTGCTGAGAGCATTGGCTGCCTTGGGAGGGGTCAGCACGGGTGCTGCGAATCCGGTGGATGGGCTCTGTTTGGATGAGCGGAGGGTGGCCGCGATGGCAGAGCACACACACAGGGACAGCACCACGCACACCAGGCTCTTCATTCTGCAGACAACGCGTGCGGCACAAGGGGAGATCGTTGCGAGCTTTTGATCACTGGTCCTGGCCAGCTTGCTTTGGCCATTTTTTAGGGAGTTCGGTCATGCCCTCACGGATTTATGTGGTCTGTAGTACGTACGTAGTCGTGCATGTATATGTATGTATGTAGGTAATGTGTAATGCACTGCATGTACGTGTTGTTCGTCGGTCGTCGGTTTGCTCATCAGAATAGAACAGGCCATATGACAGAGGAGAGAGAGAGAAACAGCCGACAGACAGGCAGAGACAAACAGAGGATTAAATAAATAAAAGAGAGTTCGGTGCAACAAACACACACAACACACACAGAGAGCAAGAGAGCAAGAGAGCACGAGAGCACGAGAGCAAGAGAGGCAGAGAAGAGGCTATGAATGAAAGCAGCGATAAATAGACAAACAAACAAGCAAGCAAACAAGCAGTCGAGCAGAGAGGCGGAGCGAGCAACTTGATTGAAGAGAGAATTATAGGCCTCATCACATCAGCCGGCCGATCGGATCAGACGACGGACGAGGGGATGGTCTTCCCACAATCCCACTCGCCTGCAGCTGACACTCGATCCAGCTCGACGTGCACACATTCGATCATACATATGAATCATCCATCAGTACTTACACACTTGTACTTGAATACTACATACTGCATCTGTACGCAGGTGGGTATGTACGAACGGATGCGTGTGTGGCGTTAGTTATGGGACAGACAGACACCATACAGATAGATCACATGCATCGCATCGCATCCATAGACAGACAGACATCCACAGACAGACATCCACGGACAGACAGACAGACACCCTGTAGATCTTCCCGCCTCTTTCCCCCATCAATGAAGCCCTCTCGGCTTCCCTCCTCCCTGCCCTGTGTGTGCTCTCTTTCCTCCCCTGATCGATCAATCAAACAGCCAGTGAGTGTAAGTGTAAGTGTGGATACCGAGGAGGCGCGCGTCGCTTAGCGTGTGCGTGCAAGGCATGGCATGGGTCATAAGTGGGTAAGTGGGCGGGCGGCGAATTTTACAAAACTACAAAACACCGTGTGAAGTGTGGAGAGTGACGACATGCGAGTGAGTCAGTCGAACAAGCAATCAGAGAGCATGGATGATGCGATTAGATGCG